ACAATCACTAAGGTGGTGGCCGAATTCGCACTACCGTCGCCCATGAACCGGCCATCAAAAAAAATTCCGGTTAATGTCACCAAAACTTTTATTGGCCAATCACCGATATTTAGTAGTCTAATGGCAACACCTTGACTGTAGGGCCAATCACCAATATTTAGCAGTATTGTTGTAGCATCACCACTCTAAGATAATCAATAATTGTCAATAGTGGTTGCAATGATGCTGATGTGGTGCAGTAAATAAATCATGGAATTAGATGTGTTTTAATATTTCCCTTAATCTCTACCTCAAAATCGGAGTTTATGAACAAAAAAAAAATTCCAAAATCGGCAAATTATCATTATCAATCAGGGATCTTCTCCGCACCATTAATGCCGATGCTCCCAACCCTCCACATTACTGCCGGCAGAAAAACGCAAAATTATAATTATTTCTAAAAGACAACATTCCTCTCTTTAATCTCTCGAGCCTTGACCATATCTTCAATGCTAACCGACGGTCCCAGTGGCTTTGAAAAATCATTAGTTAAATCCCCGGAGATTAATTAATTTGATAACTCGAGAGCTCTCCTTTTAATTAATTTGATAACCATATCTTCATACACTCCTTTTTATCAAAAAGTGGTTAAGGATAAATTTTAAACAATTGTAATAGGCTAAGATTAACGGCGAGGTGTCGTGAAGTCAAGAAAAAAAAGTGGTGATGGGTTTAGCAAATGGTCATTCTATGCCGACATTGATGGTGAGAGACAGAGCATCAAGGTTAATGGTGCAAAGAAGATAATGGAATCGATAACGATGGCTTTTCCCATTTTAGAGCAAAGATTAATGATAGTCAGCATGGAAAGAATTTTATGATTGAAAATACAAAACATATGCCATTCCATCATTTGTTGCACCGCAGCAGCATCATGATGTCGTGTAGCCATTGCACTGAATATTTTCTCGTTGCAATGGTGATTAAAAAGGGTTGTGTTTTTTTAAGGAGAACAAAGACACAAAACCAAAACTAAGATAATAAGACAAACAAAACCTCATGTTTTATTACTATTTTTGTTATGATAGGACATATATTATAATATTAGTACTCGGTACTGGACCTGTGCTTTGACATGGGTTCATGTCTTTTATGTCTATGAAGCAATTTCAAATAGAGAAATCAAAAGTTTAGCTATTAATGTCGATGGCTAAATCAATTAAAACTAACTCTTTATTTACTCTATCACAATGATGTAGTAGAATCAGATTTTTCTCCTTCTAACTTAATGCGATGTTATCCCACAGTTTCATTAGAAGTCATCACATCAAACTAAAAAAATCACATATGATTATTATAATATGTAATTTTATTGTAAAAGCAAACACATCACAATCATTGTGTCTTAGCAACTTTATAGTTATTAGCTGGAGATATAAACTATGTGCATATTGAATAAGTGTTTCGGATTTATAAGTTTAGACTTCTTCTCTTTTTGTTAATCAATGTAGAGACCCAATCCAAAGTATTGATTCCACACAATCTCAGTTGAAATACATTTCTGAGCAATAATGTTGCAGTTACCTTCTTTATCCACATTATGCACTAATAAGCAACATGGCATCAAACTCGGATTTAGTTTCACCATACTCCATATAAAAGCTAGCGTTCTAAAAATAATCCAAATATAAATCATCTCTCACTATTAGAACCAGTTTTTTTTTCCTTTTTTTTTGGCAAAATAAAGGAAAAGATCACTAGATAATATTTAAGTGATTAATCATACATGAAATTTAGAAAAAGCAATCTTTTTCATGCATATCTACCATTCGTTACTAGTGTTGTTGTCTTGGCCATATGAAATTATACTTAAGCACAACTTCTACATCTTCTAAAATTAGATTAGAAAGGTGTTAGACAAAAAACTTGACTCACTAATCATAGAAAGCTTTTTTTATTCAAGTTTATATTTTCTAACTAATTGCTATTCTGTTTGTTTTTTTTTTTCTCATATCTATTAAAGTGAATAATTAGGACTAAAAAGAAAGTAACGAAGAAGAAAATCAATAAGATTCTAACATTTAGAAAAACATAAGCACATGATTTAATAATATGCCAATGCCGTAAATGTTGTTATCTCAGGCAAGGTACAACATGTCTCCTTTTTTTGTTAAACATCCAAGTTAGGCTTGGCCTTACGATTTAGATCTATCGCCTTGTGTTATTGACTCAACCAAATTCAGCAGGCTGTTGAACCTTAAACTGCCCAGCATTATTTGTGCAAGCAAATTTCTCATATTTGGATTTGTAGTTGGATAAACAAAGTAAGCACCTGAATTTGACAATTAATATGATGACGGCAAGTTTGCCATTTTCGAAACCTCTCACAAAGTTATGATTATGATTTTCACATTACTCGATAAGTCTAGAGAATTTCCGATATCTATTTTGAGTGTTCTTCGTCGGTTTTTTTCCACATTCGATTTGTCATCACGTTGATCCCAAGTCTTCTCCACAAACGATGGTGTCGCCACATTTTTTCTCGTACCAGAATCAAATTTGTTTTCCCGGATATTATGACGTCTTTGTTATATCGCCTTGAATTTTTATAGCAGCCTTCAAATTTGTCAGTTATTGATTGAATCTACATTGAATTTTGAGATTTATAATATAGTATAGAGTCTTGGGCTTTTTTTAATGGGCTATAAGCCCATATTTATTACTATCTTATTCTATTGACCAAAAATAAAAAGTTGTACCTTACACAAAAATTGAGGGAATTTAGGGAATTGCACCCAATCTCTCGATCATCATCGTGCTCTCTCCTGCCGGATTGCCGGCTGAATTTGCTCACGTCATAGCGCCGCCGGAAAAAATCGGCTTACCGACGGGAGCAATTATCTTCCCTATCCCGACCTTTTGTTTTCGTAATTCGTTCCGCACACAGGCACACATTGACTCCGCCGCTCCTGTTCTGTTTTTTTTCCCTCTTTACTACTACGGGCGGCGGCGGAAGAGCTGTGGCATGGTTCATCTTTCTTCCGTTACGTGGATTTTACGCTGACCGAAGTTCATCTTATCTGGTTAATATCTCAGCCACTAAGCTCTTCTCCGTTTTTTTATCCATTCATTCATCATCATCATGTTTATTTTCAATGCTAAAATTTATGTGCTAAACTACATGAATGTTAATGTGTGAATTTTTGTGTATATCAATATTGCATTAATGCTTATATCAGAAACTGATGCCTATTTTTTCGAGGCAATGAGTTAATGAAAGTGGAGTTTGGTAGAAAGTTGGTTAAATACCATTATAAGCTACTGGTAGGGGGTCTTTGATCGTTTCGTGGAAGTCATTTATCTCGGAATTATCGATTGAATTTCAGTCTTCTACTGCTTAAAAAAAATAATTCACATTGAATTTTAAAATTTAAGACGTATATAGTGTTGATTGATTTTTTCATTTACTTTTTTTAGATTTCCAATGCAAAGAACTCTCATAAATATTCCTCCCATTCTCTCTAGTATTTTGTGTTGAGATTCAATGAATTTGTTCAATTTGAGGCTTCATATGAATGGAAATTAGTATAAAATAGTTTTCATATGAATAGTGCTCTTTTTGGCTAGAATCTTTCCTCACTTCTGGAGTAAGTTTGGATATTCATTTTGAATATTTCTTCACATCACTTCTCAAAGTGATAATCATTGTTTTGCATTTGTGTCCTGCTTGGCCAACATAATCAATTCTTACTTAATTAGCTCCCCCTTTAACATAATTGATGCTTGGATTTGGTTTTTGAAACCTCTGTGTTCTTTTTGTCTTTTAGCCTGGAAGTTGAGAAAATCTTTTGGTTGTATGTGTGTTGTATACTGTAGGCCATGCAACATGTACCCATTATTTTATTTTTCTCAATTAATAAATTTAGAAGAGTCAAGTTTTCAACTTTCATTGGTTAGTCTTGTGAGTTGAGTGCAGAATTTGGCAAGAGAAATCTGCTCTGTTTTTTGGTCTCGACTAATGTTGCGTTTAGTATGTTGGAGTATTACATGTTGATATCTTTACCAAACTAATGTGCTATTGATGTATCCATATTGTGAAATGACAAAGAGAATGAAGCAACAAAGATAGAAAACCAGGGGAAAATGATAAAGATATTTTGAATAACAATAATATATACAATGAATTTACTAAGAAAAGTGAGAAGAGATGATGCGTATTAAATCACATCTATTTACTTTTTCATTTTTCATTTACTCCTTATGCATTTAAAGTTAGGAAAATAGCTTATATTAAACCACACTATTTCTTGTATATAGTCTTATTTTGTAATTTTTCTCTGTATGTATTACTATTTGAATGATGTGGTAAAGATAAAAAAGTGTTCCTATTATGTTATCACTCTGTCCCAAAATGATTATTTTGTTTGTTGTACTATTATTAAATCTTATTTGTCGTTATTCTTTCACTAACAATTATCTCATTTCACTATAAAATTTATCTATCCCTGTCCATCATCCATTATCAATCATAATTGAAATAAGTGTTCTTTTTAATCTTTTTCACATTATTTCTTGGGCCTTATTACTGTATGAATTGGATTGATCTTTCATTCCCTTTCTTTTGACATTGATAAGTTAAGGGGGTCCCTAAACTAAATGCTTGAGCAAGGAGTAATTTTGCCATTTTTTGGGTGGTTGCGGAGTATGTTCTATTAATGGGTTGACTGTAATTATCTTTGTATTACCGGGTGTCTTTGCAGTACTAAGATTTTTGGCGTGGAAAGTAAGGTGAAAAAAATTTTAGGAAAGAGCAACAAATTTTTTAATCATAGGCAATGCTAACATGTAATAGTTCCAAACTTACATAAATCCTTTTGTAATGTTACTCTGCTCCCAAGTTATGTTCTGCCTAATTCACTGGGTTGTGGGCCTTAAAGCCCTTTGATAGCATTAAAAGGATAGCTTTATGGAATAATGTTTTCTTACGTTGTATTTTATACAGAAAAACCTTTGGAATATAGATGGCAAAGGATCCAAGGGTTCACAAGGCTATCACTGCAATGAAACGCTTAACCTTTCCTCAAGAAGATGTGATAGCCGTGCTGAGGAAGTTGCTTAAATTATATGAAAAGAGGTGGGAACTCATTGAGGAAGATAATTATGCTACACTTGTTGAGGCTATACTCGAGTATCAGAAGGAAGAGGTTTGATACTGGATATTGGTTGTTTAAATTCCACAAATGTATCCTTTCTTCTAAGTGTCTGTTTTGGTTTCCTTGTTTTTTCAGAAGAATGATGTGAACAGCTCAAGGAACAACTATAATTTGAAAGATCACTCGGAGAATCGACATGAAGATCTGCTTGATGATCAGGCTCCTTCTGTGAGGGAAAGTCATAATGGGAGAGCAGATCGTGAAGAAGTTCAACTATTATCACTTGAGGCTGGTGAACAGGAATTGAAGGACTCATCTCTGTCGCAGTCTGCTAGAAACAGAGGAAATCTACACAGTTCAACATATCAGGCATCTACGAGACAAAATTCACTTGCTGGAAGAGAATCAAAAGTTCAGACTAATGAAAGAGAAAATTTTCAAGGGGATCATCAACATGGACTTGTGGCTTCACATAAACGGAAGGAACTTGATATCACTATTCAGCAAATCACTTCAGGTGTTTCTTGAAACTGTTTTCCCAATGCATGCATTGGAAGTCTACTATCTATCAGTTGGAAGAGACGATGATTTTTTTACTTCTAATCCTTGTTTGTGCAGCATCAAATAAGTCATCACATTATGCTTTTGCAGTTTCTTTGGGATACAGATTTATTTTTATTTTTGAACCCCTTGGATAAAGCCTCAGTTATTGTTAAATAATGTCGCATTATTTAAAATCACTCCCTCAAATTCGCATTTTATTTGTGACCTCCGAATTACTGTTTTCAATGGGAGTGAAAAGAAGTTCGACTTCTTAGAATGAGCTTTTGTCTGAAAGTCTTGACTTTTTAGTGGTTAAACCCTGCTGGAGACCCCTTTTTTAGTAGATTATTAGTCGCCGATCTTAAAACAGTTAAGCAAGCATCTGGCTATCGGATGTTCCATGTCAATGGGACATATTTGCTAGACTTGTATTTGCAAGAATGCCATTGATTACCTTGCTAATCGTCTTTTAGTTTCAGATGAACAAATTCCTCGGGATAATTCTCATATTATTTTTTTTCTTATTTATCTTCTCAGAGAAGGACAAAAGGGTGGATGGTTCAGTACGCCACAGAGCAAGTTTGCAATCTACTTTGAACATAGCCTCATCTACCTGTGGAAAGGTGATCATTTCTTTGACATGTAAAAGTAATGGACTACCTAATTCTTGGAGTCCAAATATTGATGCAGTCGTCAAACATGCTGAGGATAAGTACTTGAGATCGTACAAAATCATTGGTCCTGAGTTCTCTCTTGTTCAGTTCTTGAAAGAATTGTGCAACAGCTTTCTGGAATTGAGCTCTAATTCTACTGTAAATTCTCTGGTTAGTGAAATCATGGGACCTAACCAACAAGGATCTAGTAGAGACAATATTGAAATAAAGATAAACAAAAGGATCAGAAAATCTGAATCTTCAAGTTCATCCAGTCTTGTTGTTGCTCAGAAGCATTCTATTAGCCTTGAAAAGAGAAGGCCTCTTCGTAAGCTGCCTGATATAACAAATGGTACTGAAAAAGTGAGAATTTCATTACTAGATGAATTTGGAAATGAGCGTCTTCCAGATTTTGTATACATTCCACAAAATATAAGTTATCAGGGTGCATATGTACAAGTTTCGTTGGCTCGAATTTCAGATGAGGACTGCTGTGCAAGTTGTGAAGGAGATTGTCTATCATCCTCTTTTCCTTGTGCATGTGCGCGTGTGACAGGAGGGGAATTTGCCTACACAACAGAAGGGCTTCTTAAAGAAAAGTTCTTAGACGCTTGTATTTTGATGAGTGAAGGACCACCGGAGGACCATCACTACTATTACTGTTCAGATTGTCCATGTGAGAGGGCAAAGAATGCTCATCGCCCAGAAAAATGCAAAGGTCATCTGGTGAGGAAATTTGTGAAAGAATGCTGGAGAAAATGCCGATGTAGCATGCAGTGTGGAAACAGAGTTGTGCAGCGAGGCATAACGTGTAAATTACAAGTAAGCAAGTTTTTCCTTTCTTGCATGTACAATATCAGCAATAGTCCAGAGCAATGCCTAAAGATATATTTATTGTGTTTGTTGTGTGTATTTTTCTTGCTGAAGGTTGATCCGACAAGTCAAGCCTTCACTTGAATGTGCTTTCTTATGATTTGGTTATGCTGCAGCTATCTTACTCATCAAGTCATTTTGCCCTCTACCATGTAACTTATATGGATTTCTTGTTTCTACCAAAATTTGCTGTATGTAAGGTGTTCTTGACAGCGGGTGGCAAAGGTTGGGGTTTGCGGACTCTAGAAGAGATACCTAAAGGTGCTTTTGTTTGTGAGTATGTTGGTGAAATATTAACCAACATGGAGCTGTACGAAAGGAATAAAAGAAATTGTAAAGACAGACACACATATCCAGTGCTTATGGATGCAGATTGGGGAACAGAACGAGTTCTGAAGGATGAAGATGCACTTTGTCTTGATGCAACTTACTACGGAAATGTTGGAAGATTTATAAATCATAGGTATCTCCTTAAATTCATTTTGATTCTGTCCTAATTTTATTAGCATTCTCATTTTGACTCATATGCAGGCATAGTGTCTCTAAGGATTTTCAATGTGCCTGCAGAGCATCTTTTCTTATCTAGATATATATATATAGTTACGTCGTAATATACATTAATGCAAAATCTGAATCCAGTCGAGTTTGCATTACTTGCCATTGATCAAACTCAATCGATTCGCATGCTCATTCTTGTTCAACAAATTATTTTTAAGTCAATCCAAGAAGTATTATTTAAGGTTTGTTTTTGTTTGCTGCAGATGTAATGACGCAAACTTGATTGACATTCCAGTCGAAGTGGAGACCCCAGACCGCCATTACTATCATGTACAGATGAATGCTTCATTACCAGTGTATATCTATTAAATATCCCGTCCTGTCAAGAATATCTATGATGTTGATGATTCTCTGTCTCGTGCAGCTTGCTTTTTTCACTAAAAAGAAAGTGGCTGCTTTCGAAGAGCTAACCTGGGTAAGTGATATAGGGATGTCTTACCGTTGCATTGCGTTGTTTATGTATACTATTTGTTCCTGAGATTCAGCAATGTGCAAGGTGTAGAAATGCTCTAAATAGTACAGAATAGATTGTAGGTTTTAGAGTTGGCTTCAATGGATATAGCTGCTGAAATAGAGCTGGAATGAGTCTGTTTCCATCTTTTTTCTTTTGTCAAGTCATAAAGGGGTTAAGCTGATGAATCAAACTCCTTATTAGATTGACTTTGACATGCTTTGTTACCTACCTAGATATATTGTTTAAACTAACCTACACTAATTTGATTTCCTTTTGTATGTAGGATTACGGCATTGATTTTAACGATCATAACCATCCTATCGAAGCATTCCAATGCAGCTGCGGAAGTGCCAGATGCCGCGATTTGAAAGGAAAAGGTTTGTACTGCAGATTCTTAGATTAAAAATCCTATTTTTTTTTAACCAAGTCAGTACAGCAGAAGAGATCCGTCCGGGGGTTTTGAGAGGGGGAAACTAAACTAATTCTTCATTGCTACTTGGAAAAATTGTTTGATGTGTGTTTTGCTGCAGGGATTATCAAACAGAATAGCGTGAAGAATCATGCGACTGAGTCTCTGATGAATTCAGTTCAGAAAAAGAAAACTAATAATCGGTGATGATGGAATCCTTGCCTCGGAAGGTAAACTAATTTCCTGAATTTTTCGTCCTTTCAACTCTGGTGACTGTCTTTTTTTCCAAACTGGGAAAAAATTGAAGTTGTTGTAATGAATTCCCGCCATTTGTTTCCCATTTGTTTAATTTATTGAATTACATTTATAAACTGATGTCTCATGCTCATCGTTTCGTTGTGGGAAATGTTAGGCATTTTGTAAAACATTATTCGATGTTAGAAATCTTGTAAAACATTTTTGTTTAAGTCGTTCCAACTTCCAATACTTCCTAGAGTTTAAATTCCGACTGATTTCAATTTCAGAAATTTTTTTTAAATTTTTTATTATTATTATCTTCATCTCAGAAAAATAATCCACATGCAACGGTATAATTTTATTTTTATTTTTGGCCAGCTCAGTTAATACACAATTATTAATCGTCCTCAATTTTTAGGTTGCAACTAATATTTAATTTGTTTCTAACTCAAAACAATAGCTTACCTCTATTTTAGTTTTCATAGTATTTTAGCCATTTTGGTCGGATTGATTTTGACTTTTATGAAATGGGAATAACTTTTTTAATTTTTTTTTTCTAGAACGGAATGAGTTTTCAATTATTATTTTATGAAAGAGGATTATTTTTGTGGGACAAAATGAGTATGTTTTGAGATGGATTAGAGTAGAAAAAAAAAGTGTCAGCTTTGGCGGGGGGGTGGGGGGCGAACGATATCCAAACAAGAAATTGAATGGCTAGACTTGAAAAAATGGGAAATAAAATTAATCAGTTATGATGTCAAATATCTATCTATTTGATTAAAGTCCGTCAAGAATAAAATCAGCGTTCCTGCAGAACAGAAATTGTACTATGAATTTCGAGCTGAAACATATAAAACCCACACGAAATGTACTCCTTCTGTGATCTTTTGCATACCCTCACGTCAACCCAGTTCCAGTTTTAATTAAACAACCTATTGATTGGGATGAAAAACTTATTATAGTTTGTCAATGAGAGAGAAAATGACTCTTATTCTTGTGACTTAAAATCATAATCGACGTATAAGCATGATGATTGATGATTACCTTAAACATTCTACATAAGACAAAGACGAAAGTGTGTCGATCATGACGTGCATATATAGCCAAACATTCTACTTACGACAAAAAAATTATTGATGCAGCCCATATGAAAGTCTATTATATTCTCTTCGTTCCGAAATAATTATCTTATATAAACTTTCATTTTTACTAAAACACATACAATCACATTATTATTTATTATTTATTTATTTTATTATTAGGAAAATTTGTAAAAAGAGCATGGAAAGAACAAAATTTATTATTAAGGTCATCGGCATTTTTTTTTTAATTATTAACATATTTGTAAAAGACTATCGTATCCTTTTTTTTTATTATTTTTATGACGTACCGTCAAAATAGATTAGTGCCGGCCGTTCACCTGCAGCCATGGCCACCCTTCTCGTCCTCCTCCTGATTACCTCGCTTCAAGGTGGGCTTGAATCGTTTGAGGGCGACAAGCTTCTTATTCGAGTTGAGGTAGGGAGAGGAATATCCTATCCAAGAGGTGGTGAAACTGTACTTCGCAAAACTCATTCTTTTGCGGCAGCTTTCAGATCTTGAAGAATAATTGTGTCTCTGGGTTGTTGCAATAAATCGCGGCAGATCATTTCTTGGAGAAATCCATCTTAACGGTCTAAACTGCCATCTAACATTGATTAATTTTTCTCATAATTGGTCTTCTTGTTAACTGTGTTCTTTTTTTATCACTTTTGGGGCAAGTATTTCAGATCTTCAACACTAGCATTCATCCCTATAATGGGATGGATTGAATTAGTTTGAAGTTTGAACCCATTGAATACCAGTTCTCTCCGCCCAAATCTTACTATGTCTGATCGGCCCCTGTGCAACAGTGTTTGGTTTCCGTTTGAAAGCCCAGATCATGAAGAAGGGTGCAGTTCCTTCCATCAAGAATGAGGGGAATTGATAATAAAACTGAATGCATGTCATAAAAATAAAAAAGGATAAGATCGTCTTTTACAAACATCAGTTGTATTTAAGAAATTTATAAAAAAGATTACAAAATATTGATGCCCTTAATAATAATTTTGTTCTTTCCAACGCTCTTTTTACAAATTTTCTCTTTATCAACATATATTATAATTGGGGAATGTGAGATTGTTTTTGGTAGCCTTCTCACGTGATTCTCACATGCATTTTTATGTTTTGCTTTAGTTTTTAGTTTTTTTTTTATCTTCTTAAATTAAAAATGTTGTATCTTTTCGTTTTCTTTTTCATATTTTCTCTCCTATTACTTTTCAACATTTATTGTGATCTTTTATTACAATTATTAAATTTTTAATCTCTTTTTATCTTTTATTGTTTACTATGTGTGTTATACGTTTTATCTCCCTTCATCTTCTGTTCTTTACTGTCGGTATTAAATTTCATATATATTTTTCTTCTATTATTTAATAATCTTATACTTTTTATCTCCCCTTATCTCTTGTAATAACTTCTTCATGTGTCCTTTTGTTTACTTTTAACATTCATTACAATAGTATTTATTAAAACTATTTAAGCGCCACAATTTTAATTCATCTTTTTATATAGGTTTTCTCTCTTCTCCATTTATCTCTTATCCTGATTTTCTTTCTTTTTTCTCTTCTTCTGCAAGTTCTTTAAATATGTTTTAACAATTTGATTGAAAGTTCAAGTTGATTTCGAACAGAAGTAGGGATGCTGATGTTTAGCTAATCAGATAACATAAAGTTAAGTTGCAAGATCCAAAAGCAGTGAATGAACGTTGTAACAAAAAAAATTTAAATTGTTCTTGAATCATAGGTGTCTTCTTCATTTCAAGTAAAATTTAATGCGGTTAATACTTTACAATTCATAAGTAATAGGTTTTTATTTACTTTTTCACCAAACATTTGAAACCATGACTCTCTTTCACATATTCAGGTTATTGAATTTATTGTTGTAAATGTCAAATTAAATTTATGTGAGAAAAATTATAGACAGTTCCATTTTGATCATCTATATTATTGTAACAAAATGGATTATGAAAATAAGATAATTGAGTATTTTTTTTTGTTGTTTCTCTGTTCAAATTTAAGCATGTCATAATTACATATTTAGAGTTAACATATATTATTATACTCATGTTATTTTTTATTGCAGTACGACGCGAAGCGCGTTCGATCTATCTAGTTAATAAGTTTGGTTGTCCTTCCCACTTATTTATTTTAGTTAATTATTTTAGCATGCAATTTATCAGTTTTGTAATCCCTCATTTAATTTGGTCAAAAGTAGTTTTCTATAAATATTTTCTCCTATTTATTTCATTATTATTTCTCTTATTACCTATTATCTTTAACTTTATAATACTAAATTACTCCCTTATATCTAATTTTATAATAATAAATTGTCTTTTATTATCAAACAATATAATGGCCCTTTGATCCTCTTGCAACTAATTTTTGTTTTTAAGATTATAAAAAAAAATATTTCTGACCATTAATTTTTATTTTAAAGGTTACAAATGTAATTTCTCATTATTACGTGAATTTGATCGGCTAAAAGCGATTTCAGTGATTCTAATCTCTTTGAATTTCTCAATGTCTTTTCTTCTTCTTTTTTTTTTTTTCTTTGAATTTTATAGGTTGCTCAATGGTAGTTTAGATTGTTTCATAACTCAAAAGAATATTAAAAGTCATGTAACGTAAATTTACATATATATATATATGTATATAATTTTACAAGGTGTAGAATTTAGTCACTTCTCTCTTCTTTTCTTTTTTTGTTCCTTCTTTCAAATCTCTACTTTTACCTCTTAATCTCAAGTGTATTGGAGGTTATAATCTTTCACTATTCATCTCCATCTTTTTCTTCTCGAATTTTTTACTTCTCAAATTTAGTTTTTGTTTTTGATATTTTTTTTCTTGTTTTTTTTAAGTTGTTCTTTTTTGGGAGTCAATATAGAAAGTTGATTTTATTTTATTTCTCACAATCAAAATATTATATGTTACTTCCGTTAAAATAAAAAGTGACACATTTTAGTGATATCATTTAGTTCTTTTTAATTGAAATAAAAATTTTAAAAATATTTCATATTAATTAGGAGAACACAACGAATGTGAAAATATATGTTTAAGATATTCTTTTTTCTAATTGAAAATATATCTTAAGTTAAATCTAGAACGGAATCAAAATGCCTTATAATAAGGACCGGATGGAATATGTATAATTAATACCATTACCCTAATAAAATGAAATTTTTAAGAAAAGTAGAAAATTAACCTTTCAATAAAATGATAGTTTGGATCAATTGAGTTTTGAAGGGGCATGTCGCAAGTTGCAATCTTCGTTGGTATTCAGATCATTTTCCATCCAGAAAATAACATAAACTTCGATGCAAATCATGATAAGCAAAAGTCTGCTCATTCTCCTAATAAGGTTAAATGCAGCTACACGACCACCAATAATCCAACCAACATGGAACGAAAAATGACAAAGTTATAACATACTCCTTCCCTCCATCCTGTAATTATTGTCCAGTTTAGGTTTTTATTTTTAGTTAAAATTGTACTAAAAATAAAATCTCAAACTGAACAATAATTTTAAGACAGAAGAAGTATAACAAAAAAACACAGGTTTGGTTCCAAATAAGATCATAAACATTTTTTCAAAATAAAAATTTAAGACAATGGTAAGAAAGGAAAAGTCAGAAAACTTTTTTTTCCCCCTTAATCCCAAGTGCTTACCATCATCAGCAGTGATGAGTGTTTCTTTTTTTAAAAAAGAGGGTGATTGAATGTTATAGGAAGTTATGAATCATCCATTTTTGATTAAATGTCGGATTCCAATCAGTAATTTTAAATCTTTTAGTGAATTTATAACATGATTGGAATCCGACATCTAATTAAGAATAGATGATTCATAACTTCCTATAACATTAATCACCCCCTTTTCTTTTTTAGTTAAAAGGCACAAAAAACATTTGATTGATTGCATTGCATATTTGTATTTGCATTTTTGCAGGCAATGGCTGCTCGCATATTGCAATGGCCAAGTGGGACCCTTCCACTTGGGTTATGATGCCATCAACCAAAAGGGTCCAGAAAAAAAAAAAAAAAAAGGAAAACGAAAAAAGAAAATGAAAGCAAAATGAAGTTGGTTTGTCCTTAGTCTGCCTCTCCTGACCCCACACCTCAATGGTGTATATGATTGGCTAAAATTGTTTCAATTTTTTGAGCCATTGGATGCAAGTTGCGATCATCTTCGCCAAAAGGGTAATTAGGAATAGGATGTGATCACTAATTAGCAACCCCTAAAATCACTAGGAAACAAAGGTATGTTATGTAACAAGTAAATATTTTAGACCCTACTCCCAACTTATAGTAAAAGTAAAAATTTATACAAAACAATTATTTTGGATAAAGAGAAAATCAAGTGTTAATGCAGTCACAAGAATATTAAGAACCAAAAATATTATCCACAAAGTTTTATCAATAAATTGGCAATGATTATTCATTCATTTGCAGATTTAAAGAATTGATGTCTTCTATTTAGTGCACATAAACAATTTTTTTTAAGTGGGAATTTAAATTTTGACCATTAAAATAAATCGTTTTAAAATAAACCTATAAGACACAATTACTTTTTTGTTAACTAACAAATTCACTAAGGCAATTACATAATCTTCCAAGTGAAACGGTAAAGATAATCTACTACTATAAGCCATTGATTTCTTTATTGTGTGGGGTAACTACCTAACTTCTTCGTGGAGGGACTAATAAGAGAGCTCTCAAAGTACACGACACTGTTGACGGGGACAAGTAGTTAAAATAACACGGTCAATACCTTTGATGCTTTGGAATTCGAAAACTGCCCTCAAATTTTGGAAACATGGCAAAACAACCTATTTCATTTTGTACTTGTAACATGTATTTGTAAATACAATTGGCTGAAAGGACGTAAACTTTCATTTAACATTCTATGAACATGTGAAATTTTCTCCGAAGTTTGTTGACTCCCATGTATAGAAAACCTTTCGAGACTCCTGTAAGACTATATTGGAAATGAACAAAAGCATGTATAATTTCCTATAAATATAGTAGAGACGTGTTAATAAATTTTTATAAGTTTAAGGGACTAAATAAGATGAATGAATTTGGTTGTGCCAAATTGTCAACAAAATCTTCTAAAATTATAACTTCCGTGTATTTGTATAAGATTAATAAATTTCAACATATGATACAATGTAACTAGTGTAAAGTGGCTTATCCGACTCAATTGTTGTATTCCGTCCTGTCTTTATTATAAGACAGTTTGATTAGTTATGAATTTCATCTAACGTATTATTTTAACTAAATAAATCCTTAAAAATGTAATTTTCCAATTATTCTGATCTTCTAATTATAATAAAATATTTTTAACGTTTTATTTTCAATCAGAAAAACATACAGAATGAAACTTAAGGTAAATCAAATACCTTATAATAAGGGCGAAGGGAGTACTTATTTATGCTTCATGCTCCCTGAATTATTATTTTTTTAATATGTTTGGATAGTTTAGTCAAAGTGGCCTAAAAAACAAGGAGTAGTAATTTGAAAAATCATGACATCCTAAGGTGGATTTAGTAGTTATGGCTATGCCACTTTCCATCTTATTAGTGTTTCAAATTGAAGTGACAACTTGCTTAGGAGATAAGAGGTTTATAAGAAATTAGGAACTATGAGATACATATTTTTAAAATTTATGTACATTATTTGGTTCTGAAAATATGGTCATCTTGTTTACTAATGTTTTAATCCATGTTCAAGAGTTAGAAAAAAGATACCAATATTATAATTTTGTAATTTTCAAGTTTTAGTATGAAGTTGAGAATATGCATAAATTAGCTAAAATATCGTTCGAAATCTCATTATGTGCTATTTCATCTAATAATTGCTTAATTAAATTGGTTAATATTTTCTTTCACAACTTAGCTTTCATTGAAAAACATGAGTTTCAACATTAGAATTGGGAGACATGTGTTCAATCCTCAACAGTCACCAGGACACTTTAGTGTCAATTTGTAGGTTTGAATCTCTCTCCCATAGTCTCAATTCATATGTAATAATTCATGTGCTTGTAAAATGTATTCCAAAAAAAATAATATAAAAAACAAATTGGCAGTAAATGTGATACTGAGAATGTATAGGGGGGTATATTAATTTAGGAAGAGTTCAAAGGGCTCGAACACAAAATTGTACTGCAGACGTCATCAATCATTTCGAAGGGGGCTCAAATATGGAAAGTCAGCATTATATACAAAGTTTCATTTCATCTCGCTATTATTATCCTTATTTTATTCATAAATTCCCAAATTTCGTTTCAATTTCTCTCTTTGATTCTTCGTATAATTTGTCATTAGTACAGAATCTATTATTACTCCGCCAATTTTTTTTTTTCTCCTGCCGTCAAAGGGCCAACCATTCCCCAATCAGATTCTTGTTTCAAGCTCCAAAAGGTTTTACTTACTTGTCTCTTACCTTCATTTTTTTAATTTAGCTTCCCTTGAGCTCATCAATCAATTGTATGGAGCTGTGGATGCGTTGTGTTTTTATATCAGTACGTTAAAGATGATCGTTTTGTGGGTAATTGCTACTGGTATGATTGATATACGAGTTCATCTCTAGTTTTTTTTTTCTTCTTCTTCTTTTCTTTTTCCCCCCTTTGTTTATCTGCTTCATTTCCCTGCCATTCTGGATTGCGAGTTTTTGGGTTCCTTGTGGTCTTAATTTGCTTTACTTGAGGTGGGTTGTGATCAGATTTCAGGGAAAAAGTGAGCCTTTTTATGTTTCGAGTAGTTTCTTTTACCTATTTCGACGGGTTGAAAATGGGACTTTTAAAAAAAATTTTAGCATTATTTTTGTGGATATGATTGAAGGGAAATGATGATTAGGGTGGACCCCACTTGGAATTTTGTTTGATTGGACCTTGATTAGGGTGTTGATGGCCTAGATGTTGAGTTTTACTGGTTCTCCAATCTCCGTAGAGAACGAAGTGGCTCTAGTTTAGTGTAGTTGGCTGCGATTCTTTCATAATAGCGTTGCTCATTTGTTCGTGAGATTCTCTGGCTGATCTAAAAGAAGTCCCGGTTCTTACTAGATTGCATTTTCTTTTGAATCGTAGCTCTGTAATGGACATTCGCCACTTTTATGAAGGCATGAAAACCCTTGTGACTAGTTCTGTTTTTTTTTATTAGACCTTGATTCAGTTTTGATCTTGTCAATGCTGTGTTTTTCTGGTTTTTGGCTGATGTTACTCTAGTTCAGTTAAGTTAGCCTCAATTCTTTCATGCTATTGTTGTGAGATTCTGTGGCTGATTCAGTTGCAAGTGCAGTTTAGTCTTTCGTGCTTTGTTTAAGAATTGTGGCCTGGTAAATGCATCAAATCACCATTTTGAATGCAAACAAATTGGGGATGATAATTTTGTTGTGTGTGCTTTGATTCTTTACTTGTAGCATCTGAAAAGGGATTGTACCCTGTCCATGTTTAGTGTATGAAGCTTATAATCAAATTTTACCTCTTAAATTCTGTAAAGCTGGCCTTGCTCGGACCTTTGCAATTTCCTTGAGAAAAATTTCTGGATCATTTCTAACCAAACCCCATCCTCATGCTTTGTTTAATTTCCAGACCTTATTCTTGAATTTAGTTGAGAAGTTTGAAGTTTTGATCAGACTTTTGAGGTGCTTCCTGAAGTTCGGTCCGCGTATAAGATTCCATGACATCTATTATCGCCAAATTAATCACTTTCTTTAGTGCCGGGATTTAGTAATTTCCATTCAAATTTATCAAAAATAGGCAAAACAAATCCCATTACTTAATTTATCCTTCACTGGGGCACTGCGAGGTTTAATTGCTTTCCATTTCAGCCCACTTTTTCAAGTACTTTTTTTTAATCTCCTAAATATGTCCTTTTTCTTACTTAAAACTTGCAAATTATAAAATTTGCTATGTTGTTTCTTTTGCCGGGAGCATGAACCCCATATTTACCTTAGTGTAGTTTACATATATATAAAATTTTATGTGCATATATGTTGTAAAGGTGAAATGCAGATTGGACAAATTGTGCTTTGGTACATGATGGTTGCAATTGGTGATCATAGGAGTCTGTTGCGATTAACATATATTAATGTGGTAAAAATTTTTGACTCGATTTGAGCTCATGGACATGAAACCATTTGAATAGAGTATAAACTGTTTAACATGTAATTGCCTGTATATAACCATTCAGAAACATGATTGCTTTGGCATTGTGGATGTGAATTATACCTTCTATTATATGTCCATGTTTATTTCCTTTTATTCTCTTGTAGCTATATCAACTTCGATTCATATAATGATTTTTCGTTTAACTTTAGCAGGTCCCGATTATTGAGTAAAAACACTATTACTGGTGTCAGAAGTTGGCTTTAGCAGGACAATATTTAATTCTTACACAAAGCTTGCTTCAAAGAGGTGACATTGGCTTGCGGAGTTGTTTTGTATTTTATGGACAGAGATGGATGCTAGATCTTCAATATTCATTCCTAGAACTAGTGAAAATTTCAGTAACATGGCAGCTTCTGTGGCGACTTCTGCATCTTTGCCCAATTTGCCTACTCCTTTCATTGAGAAGTACCCTAAAATGCCAGATTCCGTTCAGGTCACCTCGGAGCAAGAACTGAAAGCAAATTCACATTCTTCTTGTCAGGCACCATTGGCTACCAGAAGTGGGGCAGTTGGACATCATTTTTCGTCCAATTCTGGGTTTTCAAGGGATAGTAAATTTTCTCCCGTGACACTTACACCACAAGGCATTCGATCACCAAATTACCCCTTCCTATCGAGGTCTACCAATTGCAAAACATCTTTAGGAAACAGTCAGTCATCCTATTCAGGAGTTCAATCTCCTCCTATGGAAAGCTACCACTTAGAAGACAGTCATCCGCCCTGGGGAAAAGATGCTCTGCAAGACTTACCTGATTTTTCCGGGACTATTCCTGCTCAAAATGGTCAAGTAGAGAGTCTTTCTGGTGTTATGGCATCTGAAGACCACATTAAGAAAAATGATTGGAGTGACTGGGCAGATGACTTGATATCCGTGGACGAATCCCTGGACTCCAATTGGGGTGATTTACTTGCTGATGTTAATGTTCCTGACCCAGAACCTAAGGTTTGTTATAAGATTTGTGTTAAATGTGCCCTATACTATTTTCGTTTTTGATGATGATACAACCTTATTATTCGGTGGTTCATTACCGCCAGACTTTGTGAGGAAAAGGATTAGAGCAACTGATTGTTATTGGTGGTAAGGGTCCCAGATTGTTATTGGTGCTAAGGGTCCTATGTACCTCTCCTACCAACAGTCAATACCTTGACTCAATATTTCTTACTTCACTTTCCTTTATCTGCCTACATGACATCTTGCTTGTTTAATCCAGTTTCATCACAGAGGCAAATCTATCTGCCTACATGATATGTAACTTGTTTAATCCAGTTTCATCACAGAGGGATGGGAAATGATTTTGTTCTCTTTTATTTATTTGTTGCCTCCACCCGTTGAAAGTACATGACGTCACATGTTCATATTTTGGAACCTTTGAAAAGACGTTTAGCAGTTTCTATCTTAGAATTTAAATTGAACTGTTCCGTATTGCTTCTTCATCTTGAGGTGTCTTTTCTTTACTTGTCTGTTTCAGTGAAATCCAAAGATATAGAACTTTATAATACATCATAAATTCCCTAGCCATGTATCGGGTTTCATTTTACGTGTTGCTTGTTTCTATGATAAATGGAGCTGTGCTTTTCTTTGTTTTGTTGCATATGTTTCTTCGAGATACTAGTAAGGGGGTATAACTTGGATTAGTGGATCTGTTTTATGATGTATTTTTCCGTGAAAATGTTATTGCAGCTATTGGATGTAACAGCTAATGTACCTGCCCTGGATCCCAAGATTACCAATCAAAATGTCAAATCACCTGGACAAAGCTGTCCTTTATCGAGTCCATCATCTTCTACTCCAGTGACAAAACCTCGCATGCGGTGGACACCCGAACTTCATGAGGTGTTTGTGGAAGCTGTGAATAAACTTGGTGGCAGTGAAAGTGAGTAGTTTTCTGTTTTTGTCCATATGCAATGAGCTACTGCCAGCTAAAAAATCATTTGTTGCTTTGTTAGGAGCTACCCCAAAAGGTGTCTTGAAGCTAATGAACAAAGAAGGATTAACGATTTATCATGTGAAAAGCCATTTACAGGTATAAGAAACTCTCCTAGTTTTTTGTTGACATTCACATCTCTGGTCCTTTTACTCACAGAATTAATAATATTTTTCATTCATTTCAGAAATACAGAACTGCAAGATACAAACCAGAGTCATCTGAAGGTAGGAATTTCCTGAAGCTTGCTATCAATTTCATGGCTAGAAATAGATGCTGATAATTTTTTGCTCTCTGAATTGATATTTTTTCTCATGTTGTTTCAATCCAATCTATGTAATGAGAACAAATTACAACGAGGTTGTTAAAGAAAAAAAAAACCTAGGTTTTATGTGTGCAATGTCTGAACAGAAAATGGTATGGTGATTAAGGAACTTTTTGTAGTTTTAGGGGATAGTAAATGCAAATAGTATTATTGGAATAAGCCAAGAGTGCTTTAATCATGTTAACTTTCATTGCCATTGCAGGAGAATCAGAAAAGAAGTCTACTGCTGTCGCAGATGTAACATCTCTTGATTTGAAAACGTGAGTTCCTTCTGTTTTTATTAGCTATCAATGTCTCTACATGCCATGTAAACTAAAGTTGGTGCCTCACAAACCCCACTTCCCACAACAAGGCAGGCAGATGGATTGGATGTACTTAGATTGAAACTGCTTATTAAGCCAAACTAACAACTAGCTGTCAGCGCAACTGATTCTTATAAGGTTCCTTTGACTGGGGAACTTATTGTCCTTCTTTGAAACGTTATTTCCCTAAATGTAGGACTCATTCAATTTGTTATGGATCTCATATTCTCTCTGGATTCAAATTGCAGGACTGTGGGAATAACTGAAGCCTTGAGACTGCAAATGGAAGTCCAGAAACAACTACATGAACAACTGGAGGTATGCAAATAATTGCTGCAACTCTGTTACAAAACGTTTTGGTACTATATTGCCTCTATTTTTCTATCTTCCTCGTTTGTTTCCAAGATGAAATGGAATGGCGGAAAAAAAAACGCCTTTTTTAACTGGGGCTTTCATAGTTGGATTTACTTTGATATTTTAGGTCGGTAAAATTTGGGCTTAAGTTAGAAGGAACCATTATATTGCTCGTTTGGTTTCAAACTTTATCTTCCACGGCTCCTAAGCTTAGATTAACTGCTCCTGGGTGGTGATGCTTTTAAAACTTATGGCTGCGTAATACAAAATGCCATTTATATGTATTATACAGCACACATGACACACACTTGTGCTCAAACTTTGTTTCACTCGGACCATTTTTTAAATGTTTGGGTACGGGGACCCAATCTTCGCTTCTTTCTGGAGATGCAGTAGATTTTCCCTCTCGAAAAAAGTATGATTTTCTGTGCTACTACTTCAAACTCATTTTAGCAGGAATCACATAAAGAAGCAGCAACTGTCAGTAATCATCTTAAATCTGGCGTCGGGTTTGCTTGTTTTCCCGAACTAGACTATAGATGTGTAGAAATCTTTGAAGTGATGGTTCATCATTTGAATTTGCCACTTGGCTGAAAGATCCCTCTTTCCCGCAGATCCAGAGAAGTTTGCAGTTGCGAATTGAAGAACAAGGCCGGTGCATTCAGATGATGCTTGAGCAGCAGAAGAAGATGGAAGAAGAAAGGACAAAGACGAAGACGGCAAATGCTGATGAACATTCTGCTTCACCTTCCAGACCATCACAACCACCCGCCAGTGATGACAAATCAGAATCCCTGGAGAAGGATAATAAGAATGAACTAGCAATGTCAAATGAGGCTGGTGCATCCTCTGAACAAACCCAAAGTCCAAATAAGAAGCAGAAGTCCCCTGAAAGACAAGCATCAAAGGATGACGACCAAGAGACTAGTGTGCCCCCTGCGAAACGTGCAAAACCTGACGAAACATCAAACTCATAAAATTAGTGTTGTAGTGTAGTGTATGGTTTATCGTGATATGGAAACGGAGGATGATGTCAACTATTGTGCAGATTGATACTGGCTTGAACATCAGTTTCGTTCTTCGTAATGCTCCTTTTTCATGTTTGTTGGGTCCCGGAAAGGGCTTTCCAAGCAACAGCGGGCATGCACATTTTTTCTTTAGGATTCTCTTCTAGTAACCAATTATGATCAGATCAGATGAGAGTCTCATCCAAATTGTGGATCATGAGATTGCCAAATCTTCCACTGCTGTAAATATTATTGCTTCCATGTAACTGATTCTCAGATGAGAAGATGTCCTCAGATACAATATTTTGATATCCAGTTCTTTAGAAGATTAAACATTAAGCCGGATTTAAGACTTTTTCTTTGTTTTTTCAAACAAAAAGAAGTAAAGCATAATGCTGATCTGCATCTTATTCAAACTGCAGCATCAGTTTCCAACAAGAACTGTCTTCCAAAACTTCTGCAATTTTTAAATCTTGGAAGGAATGCTATGAAATTACTATTGAACTGGTAGAACGTTTCTATATGGTTTGACTGAAATAAATTTTACTACCAATTAGGGATGATTGTTATTGGAGTAACAAATAAACATCAAAATCAACCCATTTCTTTTGCCTAGCGGCGCACCCTATAAACATTGAACGTCGGTAGAAGCAACAATCAATACTGTACGCACTATAATTTTGATCCTGGTTTTTCTGAAAGTTCAAATAACATCAACATCAAGACATCCTGGTTTCCAGAAATTTTAGTTAGGCATATCTTCAACTACAGAGAGGCCGTCAAATCTGACCAAGATGACAAATTTACTGGACAAATCAATAGAATACATTGTAAGCACGTTGGGAGAAGATAAGAAACAATACTTAAAAAGGGCATTCTTAGTAGACCTCTCATCTTTATTGAGCTTGACATTGTTTTATCACCATTGCTTAGGACGTGGAAATTATGAGTTGTCCATGTTCCATAGTGTGAGTACTGTAAGATACTGAATACTAATACTACGTCTGTCCCAAAAAAATAATTCATTTTTAACGAAATGAATACTAATCAATTGCAATTTTGAATGGTAAATTGCAAGGGTTATCCGGAGGATGTTTTTACTTGAATATAAACATAATGATTATATTAAAAGAAAATTAAATCCTTGTACTCAATGAGCACATAATTTTTCGCACATATCTTCCTATTTCGACTATATTATTTTTCACTAATGTATCGTCTAAAGAGATTATGTTTTCAAGCAACACAATTGAACTCTATACATCTCTATAAACTATACGACTGCACTTCTTGTTCTTGAAATCCTCAGTAACAGATTTTGTTCTGCTCACAAAACAAAGGGATGCATAAAAACTTTACGTCTAATCAAAAATCCTTTTTCCAAAATACTATCATACCTATGATTTAGCTGACACTATAAAAGAATTCAAGTGGATCTTATAGAGTTATGGTATATACCTATGAGTTTATAAACCAACCAACCACATTTATACAATAGTAGTATTATAAAAAGTTACAAGCCCTTTATCATTCGTTATTGCTAATCGGGGTTGCAGTAGTATATAATTCTTGAATCTATGAAGACAAAAACACTCACTCTAATACCAACAGTAGCAACAAAAATGAGTAAGGAATCTGGCAGAGGGGGAAGTTGGGTCTATTTTTGGAAGTGAGCGGCTAAAATGGAATCTTTTGGTATTTGATTAAAAAAAAAATTTAAAAAAATATAAATAATAGAAAACTGGGAAAAGTGATGTGAATGAACATGTGACAGACATTTATTCTGTCACCGAATTATAAATTGCATTAAAAGATCTTTGTTCCGGCAGCAACACGGCAGTTTGTGGTTGTTACCGGTAAAACCATCCTTGTGTCAGCAGCGGCAGTGGGAACTTAATTGACCATTATTATTCTTTTCTGACCAAAACGTACATTACAACACCGCGAAATAAAGACTTGTAACTTACAAACTTGTAATAGGAAAAAGTTTTTTTTTTCCTTTTTCCCATCGATTAGCAAAGAACCGTTTGCCTTTAGACAATAATAGAGGGAGCTGACTAGTGTTTCAATTTTTTGCGATAAAATGACAACAAAGGTTTTTTCTGTAAAGTAATATTACACAAATTTATTACTGCATCCGTCCCTGAAAAATAGATTACATTGAGTTTTGAGATTTATACTAAAAATAATACAAATTTCATATTCGATGTGGACTATTCTTTTGAAACACAAGAGTCAAGAAATATGTTTATTTCGTGGATATTACATGATCATCAAAATAATTATAGTCCTCTAGATATGTGTTCTTATATTTATCAAATAATATTACTTTTGACACGTATACAACTATTTCCTTACTTACGAATATAAAATAAGGTTTTTAACCCAAAAAAATAAAAATAAACTACGGTCGTCACATTTCATTACTCATCTTTGTAATTTCATTTCAGTTTGAATATTGCTCAAGTTGTATTTCTTTTTCCTTGGTTGTTGATATGATTATTGTAATGAGTATTTAAAAACTTTAACCACTAAAAAAATTATGTAAGGATGGATGAAATCATATAAGTGTTGAAAATCGGCATTACTCAATAAATAACACAACTAGTCAAGTTCATTATTCTTGAAAAAATATTCTATACAGTGGTTGTATCCTTGTTTTTACTGCAACAAGTACTATCATCTCACTATTTTATTGCTAAACTCCGTAGAAGTTAACACTTTCCCCTTAAAATTATTATTGTTACCTTATTGATTGTGTATGGATGTACAATCCTACGTGGTAAAGCAACTTCACTGGATATTTTCTCATTATTCTTGTGTTTGTTTCTCTTTTCCTTTTTTTTTTTTTTCGATTTCCTCTTTTTCTTTTTTTTTAAAAAACCAAAATAAAGAAAGATCTTATCCTACCATGCAGAAAAGATATTTTCTCGTTACTACATTTTCACTTATATATATATATATATTAAAAGTAATAAGTTGTATTTTGGCAGTAATAAATGAGAGGTTCATGAAATCCCCATGACAGTTAAGGCAATTTACTAATGTCCATTAAAAAAATTAACTGCAGATGTTGCTGTATTAATTATCAGTATTAAATTTTTTCCATTGACCAAAAAATTGACAGCTCAAAAAAAAAAAAAAAAAGACATCAAAAAGTTCTTTATAGTTATTGTTGTCTGCAGTTAAAGAAGAAAAGGACAGATAAGTCAGAGCAAGTAATGTAGCACGGCCCACTCCCTCCGGAAGATCAGAGGATAATTGCATAGTCTTCCCTACAGTCCACCTAATTCCATATAGTTCCTCCAAAATTTTTCAAAATACACATCCTCTCAGTGATGTCATTTTGAGTTTGAAAATTTTCTTTGACAAATACTCACTCGAGTCACTAATTATAATGCAAACATTGATATTAAAATTGGTTCAAATTTGTGTCTTATCGTTAAGACTAGAAGAAGAATTATCTTCAGTACCACATATATTTTTGGTAAAAAGAAAAAAAAATTTGGCATGGTTAAAAATAACATTATAAGCATATTTCAAAGTACAAACTAAGTTTTAAAAAATTAGAAATGAGGGGCGAGGATCATAGTAATCAATCAAATTTTTATTTAACCAATTTATATATTGTTAAACACTTCTTGGAGAAAAATAGTCTCTAATTATTCTTTGTTGTTATTATTAATACTACTTAACTATGGCTTATAAAGTTCAAGCTTGGTCTGAGTATGTGAGTTAGTTTGAATTAACATTGTTTATTTATTTTTATTATGGAGTATACATGAGATTTTGTTCTTAATCCAGTTCATGCTGAGGATTTTGACGCTCGTTGATCAAAATATGTTAAAAGATAATATCAATTTTAGTATTTTTCTCATTCAACATTGGCAGTTGGAGAGTGATCTATCTTAATTTCACATATAATATATACCATTTTCTTCACGAAATTTATTTATGTATGTCCTTGCTTTTTACCTAAATATTGACAAAAAAGAAGTCGTAATTTTTTATATTCCTCATAACCACATAATGTATCACTTATATTTTTTCAACTTCAATAATTGTTTCATTGACCTTGAAATTTCCATTACCCTGAAGAAAATTTTGCCATAGTCTTTTTTGATTTTAGAAGGTTGCTACATAAGCTCATAGACATTGGAGGAGGAGTTGACTAAGTTTTGTATCAAATAAAAAACTAATATTGATCATTCAATTTAATTTTCTAGGAAAAAAAAAACTTAAAACATGCACTCTCTGATATTAGGAGTTTATTTTCCTTCACAAATAGTACTTTTTTTTCTTGTTTAATGAAAAAAAAACTTGCACATTTCTCAATGGACTTCAAAATATGAAAATAATTGTTGTAGTTCAGATGATGATAGTTTGCTGTATTGAGAAAATGAAATAAAAATCCCAGAACACCTTTCGTTTTAATACTTGTGAGGACTCACATAGATGCATATAAAAATTTGGGGAGAGAACTTGAAATTATCCCAAACAAGCGGAGCCCACGCTGGCACATAATCTAACTAATCTAATTCGAATCGCATCGAATTTCCTAAAATACCCTCTTTTCAGTTTTTCAGTTATTCCTGTGCCTCCCATGAACGCCAAGCATTACGGCAGCATTATCAAAATTAGAACAACCAAATTCTGCATTCTGTCGAAAATTAATAAACATTAGGAAAATCCAGTCTTCTCTCTTTCTGTCTCTTAACTTTCCAATTTCCCTCCCCCGCCCGGATCTCTCACTCTCTTCACGAAATCCTTTCATGCTGTCACGTTCGTCTTGAAAGTGACATCTTAATTTGGCCCTTTATTTTTTTAATCTTCTTTTTGTTGCTTAAAATCGGCGCAAAAAGAAGAACTTTAAAAGGGAGGAGTTTGCAGAGAGGGCGTGGGAGATCTGCATTGAGTTTCGTATCCTTTAAGGTATGGTTGACAATTTGAACATTCACGTACATTTTGCTTAATTCAACAAGGGAAAAAAACCCCGTTGTTGGAATCCCCATTCATCATCATTGGTGTGTGTTCTGTTTTCTTTGGTGCAGGCATGAATGAATTATCATGTAATGCTGTGTCGTTTATGTTATGATTTTTCATATTTGATCAATGGGGTTCTATAAAAATGGTATCTTGGGCAATGGGTTTCTGTTTCAATGGGGTTCATAGAAGTTTGATGTTGGGGGGTCATGGTTTTTTCAAATTCTTATCAATTTTTCTTGTAGCATTTCTCCGTTCTCTGTTTCAAGCTTGTTTGATGTGGCTTGTGTACGTAATAATTCGTTGCTTCCTCGTTCCATTCAGGAAAGTTTGGATTTTTTGTAGGTTTTGCCTGAGTTTTGGCATTTTGTTGAGGTAGCCTACAATTTTGAGAGAAAATCGTTCTTAATGGCTTGTTCCAGATCTCTCATGATTATGCGAATTTCTAGCCAAGAAATGATTTCTATGTATTACGTGATGCTGACATTTTCTTTCTCAGACTTGTTCATTTGGCTCATCGTAAAAATTATGTTTTTTCTTTTTACTTCTCAATATATTTTCTTTGATTTTGGTTTGGTGGTGCTGTGTTTTTTATTTTTATATTTTTTTTTCTGCAGGTAATTTTTGCGAGGAATGGGAAAGAAAGGAGGCTGGTTTTCGGCGGTGAAGAAGGTCCTCAGCTCAGATTCAAGTGAGAAGAAGGATAAGGTAGCCCCATTGACTCTTTCGATTTCCTATTTCTTATGGCTCGTTTTGGGATTTTGTCATTCCATTTTGTTTAGATTTTTAATAGACATTTATCGTTTAATAGAAGAAACATAAATCAAGAAGATGGTTTGGGAAGCAAAAGGAAGTGGATGCCGCACCGCCTACAGAACCTGCAGCAGCAACTCCCATGGACGAGGAAGAGAAGGAGAAGGGGGATCAGAGGGTGGAGGTGGAGGTGGAGGAGGAGGAGGAGGTGGCGGTGGTCTCCTCTACCTTGCAAGAAATGGAATTGGCTGAAGCTGAGATTGAACAGAACAAACATGCTTACTCTGTTGCTCTTGCCACAGCTGTAGCTGCAGAAGCAGCTGTTGCAGCAGCTAAGGCTGCTGCAGAGGTTGTTCGGCTCACAGCTGTAGCTCATTATCCTGGGAAATCAAAGGAAGAGATTGCAGCTATCAAGATCCAGACTGCTTTTCGTGGATACATGGTAAGATCAGGCATCACTTTCTTTGGCATTGAAACTTATTTTCTGAGCTTGTATTTTCTGGAAAGTGGTGTGCTCCAATTTTCTATCCAACAAACATTGGTAGCCTGATTTTTGTTTTTGAATTAAATTTACCTAATCACAAATACAGAAAAAAACTGTTCCTCACTTCCTACAACAAAGGACTAATTTGATCCTGTTTAGAAGGTTTATCCTTAGGACAAATTAAGGATATGTGAATCAGTTTGTATTTGCTAGTACTGGTGAGGAACTTCTTATCATGTCCAACAGTTCGTGGCCCTTTGGAGGAAGTTTGCGAAGGCTAATTTTTGTGTTGACAGTTATTTGGTTTGCTTATTTGTTAAGGCAAGAAGGGCTTTGCGGGCTTTAAGAGGATTAGTGAGATTGAAGACTATGATTGAAGGGCAGTCTGTGAAACGTCAGGCAACAACTACCTTAAGATGCATGCAGACCCTAGCGCGTGTCCAGTCTCAGATTCGTGCAAGAAGAATCAGAATGTCAGAGGAGAATGAAGCTCTCCAGCGACAGCTACAGCAGAAGCGTGAAAAAGAGATTGAGAAGTTGAGAGTATCTGTAAGTTTCACTTATCCTATTGTGTATGTGCAATTCATAAGTAGAATATGGTGGTTTCACTCTATCATAAGATACAATTTAAGCACCTTTACTCTTGCGCATGATTTACTTGTATCAGCTGTCTCCAACTGCTTGTGCTTAGTTCTCAAAAATATGAAATCAGTTTTTGGCTGTCAAAGGTTCGGATTGGAGAAAATACGCAAATTTGAGTCAGTGTTGACTATTTTTTAATTTTCTTCTTGGGGTTTTCTGCACATGGACTGTTTTTAAGCGCTGCAAGCTAAAGTAACACGGAATACCTTGTACAGAGCTTGAGATACAAATTGCTTTCCACATAAATTCAATTTTAAATTTGAGAAAATTTTCTTCTGCAGGTTCAAATATTAGAGTATATATTCAAACTTTCAGTCCGACTCCTACTTTTCCAACCTTTTGCTTTAATCTGTAACTCCCTTTTCTGGTCCTACTTTTGCTAACTTCTTGTGTTAAGTTTGAAAAAGTTCTTAATACCTTTCCCTTTCTGCTTGCCTCTGACATAGAGGCGTGCTAGGTGTCTTTGTTTATCTCTCTTCTTAGTACAGTACATGCTTAATTCAAGCAAACTTCGGTTTATTTCGCTGGTTTCTGTGATTACTGTGAGTTTATATACTTTGTTTGGTTCTAAATCCCAAAAAGCTTTCTTCATAGATACAGATATATGGGATTTTCTTCTAAGTCTGAAAAGATCGCATAGGGTACACCAAAATGCTTGACTTTGGTTAACATCATGCTCAAGTCTCTTGTCTATTGTTTTCCATTCAAAAGGACTGAGATGCTTTTGAAAATATGACAGATTGGGGGGGATTGGAATGACAGCAGGCAATCTAAGGAAGAGCACGAAGCGAGAATGCAGAGCAAGCAGGAAGCTGCTATTAGGAGAGAGAGGACATTGGCTTATGCATATTCTCACCAGGTATCTTACTTCTGTTTTTTCTTGTGAAAACTTAAAACAAATTACTTATTATTCCTTTAAATGGACCACAAGATTATCATCTGAGATCAGAATTATTGATGGAACATAATGGCCAAGATCTTCTTTGTCGTACTATTTTTAATGGCATTATGGTTGTTATGTGCTGTTTTGCTGCTTTGAACTGCCTTTTCCATTCCTTTACTGCTAGTTTGTTCTCCACTGATATTCTGTTCTTCCTATAAGATACTACAAAACACTTTACTTTCTTTCAGCTGCTGTGGGTATATTAGTTAGCTTCAATATATTTGAAAGCCAGCTCTTCCAACTGACTGAAATGTCATGTTAGTATATTTGTTTTATGATTTTCTTTTATCTTCCTTATAATTTGTTAATCTAAGAGTCAATGCACTAGAAAGTTGATTCCTCTCCAAGTTTAGCTTTCGTTTTGCTGACAGATTTGGCCAAGGATGATAAGAGGACAAATAAGAGGAAGAGTTTGATCTTTTCGTTTAGTTCATGCACAACGCAAACTAAATCTATTAAAGGCATAGTTCACATAATTTTTGTTTACACTGCAGCAAACATGGAGGAACAATACAAAATCTACAAACCAGACATTCATGGATCCGAACAATCCGCATTGGGGATGGAGTTGGTTAGAACGTTGGATGGCTGCAAGGCCTTGGGAAGCAAAGACAGCTGTTGAGAAAGAACTTGACAGTGACCATATTTCAGTTAAGAGCACAGCCACGCAGTCAGCTTCTGTGGGGGATTTCCGCTCATACCATGATGATATCAAGCCTTCTCCATCTGCTAAGAGAAGAAGTCGCCCTCCAAATCATCATCAATCACCTTCAACGCCCCAATCCAAGGCCGGAACATCATCACAGCGTGCAGGAAGACTAAGATCTCCAAGTGTAAAAGGAAGTGACCGAGGAATGGATGAAGACACAAGAAGCTTATACAGTGCTCAGTCAGAATTTCAGAGGAGGCATAGTATAGCAGGTTCTTCTGTGAGGGATGACGAGAGCTTTACAAGCTCGCCGGCAGTTCCTAGTTACATGGCTCCTACACATTCAGCTAAGGCTAAATCCAGGTTGCATAGTCCATTGTCTTCAGAAAAGATTGGTACACCAGATAAGGGTTCGACTAGTTCTACAAAGAAAAGGCTATCTTTCTCGACGCCCCCTGCCGCTTCAAGGAGGCACTCGGGTCCACCTAAGATGGATTCTAGCTCTATTAAGGACCTCATGACATGATCAATTATTTATAATGGAAGGGGTTTCTGAATTATGGTAGCGGTCTGAAATGAGAGTGTACATTTAGGCAATAATTTAGTGGTGTTACATATGCAGATGATGGATTTGGAGTGTGTAGATTATATATAGTGATCTAAATTAGTGATCTTAGGTGTGTCTGGTGGTAATGCATTGATTGGATTCTTTAATTGCTTCATGAAGATCTCAAAAGATGGGATTGGGAATGCTTTGATTGTATTAGTTGTTCTTTTCTCATTTGTTTACCATGAAGGTGTGATTTAACTTTCTGACCATTTTTTCAGTGAGAGGTATACTGCAGTTCTGCTTGCTGGTGTACATTTTTCTGTAAAGTTTTAATCTTTGTGAAGAATGAACTTATGATTATAGAAAGGTTTTACTGAGCTTTTACTCATTCCTCTCTGGGTTTTCCCGTTTTAATGTTTGCTTTACCCGCCAAATATACCAAGTGATGAAGAATAACATGCTTTCTTGAAGAAAATGAAAAGTACCACACTGCAACCAAAGCCATAATAGTTTTCTGTTCTCCCAATTTGCTTTGAATGTTCTTTACACGTCAATATGTATTGGAGACCATATAGACTCAGTGTTAGACTTCAAATTTCAGTTTATTTATCTTGACGTTTATTTATATTTTTCGTCCAATAATTAAAGTTTTACACAAATTAGACAGGATTCACCAATTGGCCAGCAATACCAACTAAAGTGCAATAATAATTTTTTTTTTTTAAAAAAAAATAGAAGGCCAAAAAGAAGGGAGAGAGAATTGGAAAATGTGAGATAACTTCTCTCTTTTATCTCATTATTAAGGTTCCTAGGCTCACAAGCGTCTGAATGGAACTGTATAAATTTGTTTCTACACACAACGTTTTTTAAATTCACTCCAACGATATACGCTACGCGTATTAGAAATTGGCATTATACTTGCTTTAAGCCTCTAACCCATTGTTGTGGATGTTCTAATATTGTAGGAATCACTAATAATGGAAATATATTTATATGATGATATTTGAGTTACTAATTTTGGACTACTTATTTTACCTTAAAAATATAATATAATCGAAATAGTTGTTTCAATTAATTCCTCGAACAATTTCTGAATATGATTTTTTTATTTATAAATTACTAATATTGATCCTAATATAGTAATATTATTAGTATTAGATTAGATGATCTATTGGGCCATTTATCAATTTAAAATATTTGAAAATGTAATATTCATTTTTGTTATAAAACGAAACGTCTTCGTAGAAAACTAAACGTGAAAAAAAAAAAAAGAAGAAAAAGAAGTGAAGGACCAAAGTTTTGTCTGTAGAAGCTTCGAAGGCACCATCTCCCTCTTCTCCTCTCTGTTGATTCAAACTGCGAAGCCAAAATCCAGCCTTTGATTCAATCCCAGAATGGTAAGAAGATTGTTTCTTTCAAAACCGGTTATTACATTTCAAAATGGAATCTTTACTTTGAACTTTCCAATTAGTGGCATGATTATTCTTTAGGTTTTTTAGCTTTCAAGCAGCCATATTTTTTTGCACCTGCTGTTATTTCGTATTTTAGTCTAGCATTTCTGTATGATTTTGGTTCTGTTTGAGATCGAATTGATCAGCTGGGTTTTTGATATAGAGTGTGATTTCCATGTTTCATTTTATTAGAAATAGTTGTTTATGTTTCTGTAAGTTTTAAGTTCTAGGAAGAAGCTCAACCCTTGGGATTCACATTTCGTAGTATGAAAGCTCATTTCAGATCGGAAAATTTAATGGTGGGTGAACCTTTTTGCACTTGAACTTAATGGAGTATAATTTGAGACTAGTATTGTTCTGTCCTCAATTCTCATTGTGCTACACTATTTGAGAAAACCTTAGTTAAGCCTCATCATGTATATCCTCCATTGGCTCTTCATTGAAGTTCGGGTGACTTCCAACTAATCTATTGGGAGCATTTATGACTTTAAAGTGGAAAGGGAAGGAATGATGACTTCCCCACTATTGTTCATCCTAAAACCAAATAAACATACATGTATGATGAAAAAGGATTCTTTTGTTCGTTTTATTGACTGGATATGCAATCTCGTTGATCGCAGTCATTGCTTATCTTTGATATTTGATAGCTTTATATTTATGACTGTGTTAAGTTCACTGATGGAATCACTAAGTATTATTTCAAATCTTCATCAGGCTACCCCTTTTATTGCTGGACTTGCAGTTGCTGGGGCAGCTCTAGCTGGTAGATATGGGATTCAGGCATGGCAAGCATTTAAGGCACGTCCTCCAAGAGCCCGCAAATTCTACGAAGGTGGCTTTCAACCTAAAATGACCAGAAGAGAAGCAGCACTTATTCTTGGTATTAGGTAATCAAGACCCTGCCTTATTTTGCACAGAAGTTGGAAGCCAGTAATACAATACACACTTGAATATGTAATTGAAACTGGAATGTGCCCTATGAGAAGGTGGTCTTTTGTGAACATTTTTGTCTGTCTGTCTGCTGGTTAAATAATAACTATAACTCTTTGTGATAATTTGGTCTCCGGAAGTAGGTTATCTGCATGTTAACTTCAGCTGTTGAAACAACTCATATGCAGCTGAAATGCAAGAAATTATTCATTCAAAATATGCCATGTTAGGTTGCATTAGACTTTCATAGACCAATGGGCTTAGTGGGCTGTATTGAAATGGTAGAGTCTTTCTGTATCATTTACTGTGAAACAGAAAATTTTCATTTGTGCAGCATAGGCAATTGTGATGGACATTTAGAACTTTTTTTTTCCTTTTTTTTCAATTATCATATAGGAGAATAGGTTATAAAATTAAACTAAAGCAAATGAAATTGTTCCTCCATCTTGCCTTGAATTTTAAGTATTGGCAGTTCCTTTCAGCATTGATCTTTTTAGTCAATGATGTTGTAGCTAGCGAGATTCTCCTTTAGGAGATTGGACTTCGTTTGGCAATATTTGTGATGTATAATTGTTCATAGAGGGATATTTTTCCAGGGAGGGTGGGGGAGTGGAGATAAATGGAACGGTTTGTTTGATAGATTTAAAGGTCCATGTTCTTATCAGGCATCAATGTGTTTTTGTATTGTGATTGAGGGACCTAGTGTAGTTCAAGCCTCTAAACCTGCTCATTTAATTTAACAGAGGTTGAGTGGAATTCATGTTGTAAATTAAACACAAATTTAGATAAGCTATGTATTTCAAGTTAAAGAGGGTTGAAGTTTCAGGGATCTGAATTTTTTCCAGCGAGAACTAGTTTCTTGTTTATGTATAATATAATCCGCACTACTCAGGAAATAGAGAAATTTTCTAATTTTCCACCATACTGCTTTTTCCAGGGAAAATGTAGCTGCAGATAAGGTTAAGGAAGCGCATAGAAGGGTTATGGTAGCTAACCATCCTGACGCTGGTGGTAGCCACTATCTGGCATCTAAAATCAATGAAGCGAAGGATGTAATGCTTGGGAAGAAAAATGACACTGGTTCGGCTTTCTGATGAGGTTGATGAACCTAGCAAACATTTGGTGTAGCTGCATTTTTGAAAGGATCATTTCTAACCGGATCTTACTGGAAACATAGTGGACTATGCAATGATACTCAAGATCACTTGTCTGTCCTCATCCATATAAGATTGAAGTCTTGTTACAGATGTTTACCTACAGGTTACATGTGCCACCCCTGAATTTATAGTTCCAAAATCTGCAACAGATTCATACCCTTTGTTACATTTGGAATGATTGCTGCTACAGTGTAGTCTTCTTGATCAATGTATACGTTAGTTTGCCTGAGCATGATGAGGTAGGTTCCCTGTGCTTATCTTCAAACTTATTGTGATTTTTGTTAGGAAATGGCACTCATTACGAGAATGCTTGATTTAGGTAGACAATCAGGCTATTTATTTGTTGCCTCTCTGTATCGGAAAACAATTCTCTGACTACCGCCACGGTGAAACAGCAATGGTTGGTTACAATCATTAATCCGTTTGAAATCACTAAACCTGTTCAATTATATTTTCGTCCATTTTTCTGTAGAATGAAGTCACATTGTAAATGGAGGTCCAAACAAGGACTCGTCAGTAGCGGAAAGAGGTGCAGCTGACACGTACCGGTGCGCGGCAGCCCTCTGGCAAAGGACACAAAAGGTTCGATTTAAGTTAAGAAACGGGAATCGTAGAAACATTTTCCGCAATATAAGTGTTTGAAAATGTTATGCAAGAAATATGTATGTTTTTTAGTGACAATTTTAACAGTCATTTTGTACACTCCATAATTTAAATATGCTTTCCGTCCCAAAATGATCGACATAGAGCGAGTATGACACTAACCACTCAGAATCACTAGCTGAATACTACCATCCAAGGATGTTGCATAAATGTAGTGAATCAGTTGACCCCTAATCAGGATCTCCTCCACACAAGAGCCAAAAACAATTGCATTCCTTTCTTTCAACTAACTTCCGCTTTTATTTCAGTCTTTCATGCACTCTCGCAGAAACAAAACCTCCACAAATCACTCTGTTACTGTTAACCAAAACAAACTCTCCGATAATGCTCCAAGCATGCATGCATGCAACAACAACTATATATAATTAGCCTTCCTGAGAAATTATCTCTGTCTGTATAATCCAAAATAGACATAAACAGTATCTTCATATTCCTGTCATAAGGGAAAAATGGCATTCAGGGCAGCAGTAACAAAGCAGTGGAGATCAATGCTGATCAATTCCGCGGGACAAAGCCGAGCATTCTCCTTGTCCGGCCCTGCCACAGCCACCTCCAGAAAGTATGTAACCACGGCAGCTGCACCGATACACGAAGAACTCAACCTTCGAACGGCCAAGGCAAAGGCGGCAGCAACAGGGGACTGGGCGCCGGTGATGATCATGGGGGGTTTCATGGTGGTGGTGCTGACCATTGCGAGTCATAGTGCTTGGCAACAGCTGGCCTACGCACCATCAGTTCACATCAGGAAGAAGAAGAGGGAGACGCTGCCGGAGGTTTACGCCCCGAACGCCGTGGTGGGGTCAGCGGACAAGTTCATTAACAAGTCATTCTTCAGAAAAGTTGGTCACATTCAGGACAACAATGTTATACTTGAGGACAGTTCTCGCCCTGATCCCTTCACTCGTTCCAGGGAAATCCATTCTCTAAAATCAGTTGGAGTTGGTAAATGATCCAAATCAATCTGCAACTTTACTGCTCATCCATCTACTGTTATGGTTTCTGCATTTGTAAATAAAGAAAGATTCATATGAATTCGTTATGTTTAGGTAGCTTCCACTTTCCATGGATCCTTCTTCTTTGCTGAGTGGAGGATTAGTTTGTCCCTTTGCCTCTTTAGGGGCTCTTTTGTATTCCAGGATAAATACTTTAATAAATACTACATCCGTTCCAAAAAAAATAGTCGACATTGAGTTTTCAAATTTGTACTAAAAACAGTACAAAATTTAAAACTCAATGTGGACTATTTTTGTGGGACGGAGAGAGTAGCATTTCTGATTTCCCTTCAATAATTCTTTTTTCTTCTTTCTGAATCACTTCCAAATTTGAACTCTTCAAAGCAATGTCACCAAAAAAAAATGGTTCCCTTTCAAGAACCCACTCAAATTAGCAGTGCTAATGGCCAATTTTTAGGAATTGTTTTACAGTGAAAAAAGCAAAAATGTAACATATCAAATGAAGTAGTATAGTTCGCAGATAAAAAAAAAATTGTAATTAATAACATCGTGGCCAATTCTCAGGAGTTGTATGCAATTTTCAATTTAGCACAAACACATGATTCCTGATGTCTGTTTGTCCATTTTTAAGGTTCGACTTTAATTAGGCAAAGGGCCTTGAAAAATAGAGTCCCCGTTTCATCCAAAATTTTGTTATTCTTAAAAAAAAAAGAAAAAGAAAAAAAGAAACTAATTGTTCAACATTGTAGCAGGTATCACAGGGAAGAGAATCTTTTTATTTTTTTTTTAATTTTTTTTAAACGTAACAAACTATAAGCATCTGTTCTTAAGTTTTTGATTGGACATAAACATGTTGAGAAGGAATTTTCTCCTTTTCTTGTTGGAAGATCCTAAGGTTGAGAACGCCAAGATCTCCATTGAGAGAAAAAGAATTAATAACTAATCCAGCTAAACAACATTAATCTGTACTTTCTTTGTTATATATATAAAAAAAAAAAAACTAAAACCCGACAAAACACGACAGATAACTAATCCATACAGTATATTATGATTAAGTGAAAAGGTTACTCCACCTGCAGGGGAATTCAATCTTACTCCATGAATTTTTATTTTTATTTTTAAATTATATGATTTTAGTCAAAATCAAATCATCGATCTCTTTGATAATAACCATTCCCGATCCTAATCCGCTTACTACCATAACCAGCTCTCACCTACTACCATGAACTTAAAATAGTGATGATAGTGCAAAATTGTAAAAAACAAATTGAATTGAGGATGGACAAGTAAAAGTGTCTAAAAAAACCAAGAGAGTGGATAGAGTTTTGGAAGAAATCATTCATACGGCTTTTAGATAAAAATGCTTTTGAATCACCACCGCCAAAAAAAAAAAAAAAGGTAAAAAAACAAATGTCCGATTCGCCGCTTCATCTCTGAACTGTTCACCGTTTCCTGCCTGGATTCTGCGTCAGCATAGACTCTTTATCTTTATCCATTTTCCTCGTTATCTATTTATTACTACTACTGCTTACCCTACATAGATATGTTTTTAATGTTGAACTAATTAATGACCTCATTCTCCCCATTTACATTTGTTTGAAAATTCTGAAATTAAGAAATCCCGTTCGGTCTATTATTATTTAAGAGAGAAATATTATTTAAGTAAGAACAATACATTTTTAGGACGTAAATAATGAATCTTCTTTTCTAGTTTGTAAAGAATTTTCAAACTCACATACATCACCATGTTATTGATTACAACTAAAGATACAGCCTTACTCACATCTGACATCACAATAGAATGATTAGTCTAGGATTTTATTTTTTAGATGTCAAAACTCATACTCCCTCCGTACCAAAATTATTATCCAGTTTGCTAAAAAAATTTTATCTCAAAATTATTGTCCAATTTGACTTTTTAAGAGGTAAAATACGTTTATACCCTTAATTAAAAAACACACCCCATTTTCTCCAAAGCAGCGAAAATGAGCGTTACGCTCCGACGGCTTTAAGTGGCGGCATGAGATGACCAGGTAATTGAGCATGTCAAAATTCGACTCCGTTCTCTGTCTATGAGCAGCAATCTAACCGTAATACTTTTAAAAACATTATTCATATAATTGGAGTGAGATGGAGCTATTGGATTGAAGCATTTTGTCCAGATCCGTCATCATGGATAACATATAATGATATGCACATTAATACTTTTTGATTTTCCTCCGACGATGGCCAGATTCATCGCCGCCGAGAATGGAGTTATGCCTTTGATGATGATACACATATTGAAAGCATACCTTTATTAAGATGCATTCTTGATTTTTCCAAACCTTTCTGATCAACATAAAATTTTCGGACAGTAAAATCAATTATGTATGTAGGGGTATATTTGAAAGTTTATGCCAAAATTAAGTTTAGTTTGACCAAAAATAAAATTTTGTATTTTAGAAAAACTGGACAATAATTTTAGGACGGAGGGAGTACTATAACACAAGCAATAATTTAATTAAAGTAATCCAACATCAACTCCAGCTAAATCAGTATTGCTTTCTAATACAAAAAAAAAAAAAAAAGAAACTCATACAGGTAGGCCTAATAAAATACTTTCATTTGCGTGTATAGTTCATTAAGGAGTTACTAAAAAATGTGGAGGTGACTTAAACCATTGTCGCAGGCCATACCAATAATATTTTATGTATCGTTTTAATTTTATTGTGTGTCCCGAATGGAATATGCACCTAAACACCTTATTAATACACTATTCTAGTGATTATGGTTCAATGTATTTTCTTCATAAAATGATACTGTGAAATGTGAACTACCTAACTATTTTATACATGAGATGCAAAAAAAAAAAAACAAAATACAGAAATTTTTTTTATACATTTCAAGAACTAATAGCAAAGCTTATGAAAATGTGATCATTTTCACGGTCTGGAAATTGTACATCAAATCTTTTTCTGATCTTTTGGATGAATTTTGCAAGGATAAATAGATACCTGTCTATTTATTACAAATAATTTTTCCCTTAAATTTCTAAATTTGTAACAGGAAAAATCAGTTACCACTATATCTTTTTTTTTTTTTTCTTTGCCTACCACTCTTCACCATATTATCAGACAAATTAATAAAAAAAAGGAAAATTATGTGGAGCATGATGCTTTTATTTCAATCCAAAAAAAGGTTACATTAAAAATATTTCAAGGAATTATCCAAAGCCCCCAAAAAAAAAAAAAAAAAACAAAAAACAAAAGAAGACAGACAACAAGAGAAACCGCTTCTGGTTTCCAGTGGCGGTTCGCTTTACACAGTCCACTCCTATCCTTCCTTCTTCCTTTTCCCATTTCCCCCCCTCTCAGATTTGTTGCCTTCAATCTGCTTCATTTATAGAAAGAAAGAAAAAAAATAAAAATAAAACAGAAAGAGCAAGGAAATGGGCATCACCAAAAACATTACCGTAATCCAATCAATCCGAAATTTTGGCATCCACTGAAATTTATCATCAGGTAAAGAACACACGTAGTGAAATTTGAGAGATACAAGACAAATTTAATCTTCAAAATCTCTGCTTTATCCATTTCCATTTCACTTCCTTCCCATGTAGTAGTATTTACTGCGTCACTCTGTACATGCTTACGCTAATAGCAACAAACTACTACCGCTTCCTTGTTTCTCAAATCCCTCTGTATATATGCGGTGCCCATCTTTATCATCATCGCACCAAGACTGCACTTTTTTTTATTATGAGTCTTTGCATTTATAGATTTCATATTCTCCGAGGCGTTTTTTCATCTGGGATTCTCGTTTTCTGTACTGTTTATATCAAATTTTAGCTTTTTGATTTGTGGGTCTTCAGTGTTTCTTGGGAATTCGGGGGGTTAAGGTGTACAGTAATTTGATATATATATATATATATATATATATATATTGAGAGATAGACTTATAGAGAAAGGGGGCAGTAGCGGTGGGTTTAGACAGATAGAGTGATGGTGGGGAATGGGAATGATCCAGTGGTGGAATCGTTCTTGAATACAATTCAAGTTGTAAAGAGTGCGTTTTCACCATTAGAATCTGGTTTGAGGAAGGCCGCCAAGGAATTTGAGCTGTGCTTGCCTCATATTGCTTTGAAAAATGATGAGGATAATGAGACCTCAGTGGCCCTGTTGAATGTTAAAAGAAAATGTAATCATGGTGGGTGTGATGGTGGTGTGCAATGTGTTGGGGTTAGGGATGAGAAAAAGAAGGGTTTATCTATTAAGCCACCGATCAAGATGTTTCTGGGGATGTTTTCTGAGAAGAATGGGGTTAATGGGAGTTGTACTAGGGTTGAAAATGGTGGGAAAAAAGGGTCAAAAGATAAGTGTGGCAATAGGGTTAATGGAAGCGGTGGGAAAGACGATAAAGGTTGTTCCAATTGCTTGCAATTTGCAGTGGCATGGTCCTTGTGGATAAATGGGATTTTTCAAGCTTTACCTAGTCAGCTTAGGTTTGGGAAGAAAAGGGGTCAGAAGGTTTATGATGAGGATGTTATTAGAAGTGATACTATTGAGAAGGTAAAGGGTTCGCATCAAACCGAGGAAAGAAGGCCTAAGGGGCTGTTTACTTTGGGTTTGGGTGATAAGGAGTTGAAGCAAGAGGAAGAAAGAATGTTGCCATTGGAGTGTTTCCTTGGTTTTATAGTTGATCAGTTCGTTCAGAATATTCAAAAGCTTGATTCCCGTAAGAAGGAAGTTGACTGCAAGGCTGTGAATGGGGAGTCTAGACAGCTCCCTTTCAGTCAGCCTGATCCTTTTTGGGCTCTTTTTAGTATTCTTGAGGGTAAAAGGGCTGAGGTGAATGGCTTTTTCGGAAACTTGAATTTTGCACGAGTTGGAGGTGTTCCTTCTAGTATGGTAGGAGTTACTTCTCCAGACAATGAAGAAAGTGAAGATGGAGTTAGTAATACTGGAAATCAGGAAGATAGTGGAGGCATTTCTCCTCAGAAGGTAGCAAGTGGATTGTTCAGCATTCCCTTATCAAATGTTGAGCGGCTCAGGTCCACTCTGTCAACTGTTTCACTGACAGAACTGATTGAGCTTCTACCTCAACTTGGAAGACCATCTAAAGACCACCCTGACAAGAAAAAGTTGTTCTCTGTTCAGGACTTCTTCAGATACACTGAGGCAGAAGGTAAACTTTATCATTGTTAACTCCGTACATGCTTTCATGTCTTATGTGATTCCGTTGTGTCCATTCAGTAAATGTTACATAGTAGCCGTTGAAAATTGATTGCAATCAACATCTTTAGAGTTTAATACTTTAAAACGGGATTTTTGCTTGTATGCTTTAATTCTTGAATTGATGCCACTTCAGTTCTGCTCCTGAGTTGCTTTGAATTTGTGAAATAGGCTAGAGTTGCTGATGAATAACAAGAAAGAGATTATAAGAAGGAATTGTAAATGATAAGGTTTCCAATGACTTGAAGGAGAACTCTTTCGATCCATTTTCACAGTTGACTTTCCCTTGTTGAAAGTCACCTGTTAGGGCATATGGTACTGACATTACGTATTTTTCAGTGTATTTTAAATCTTGGTTCTCTTTGTTAAATTGCAGGAAGGAGGTTTTTTGAGGAGTTGGATAGAGATGGAGATGGCCAAGTTACTATGGAAGATCTTGAAGTTGCCATAAGAAGGAGAAAGTTGCCCAAGAGATATGCACGTGAGTTCATGCGTCGTGCTAAAAGTCACTTGTTCGCAAAATCATTTGGTTGGAAGCAATTTTTGTCGTTAATGGAACAGAAAGAACCAACCATCCTGCGAGCATATACCAGTCTCTGTTTGAGCAAATCTGGGACGCTACAGAAAAGCGAAATTTTGGCATCATTGGAAAATGCAGGACTTCCAGCAAATGAAGACAATGCTATAGCTATGATGCGTTTTCTGAATGCGGACACAGAAGAATCTATTTCTTATGGGCACTTTCGCAACTTTATGCTTTTGCTACCGTCTGATCGGCTTCAAGAGGATCCCAGGTGAAGTGGAGTTTTTGATAACGAAATGTGCATTTGAAAAGTCGTTTCAGATTCTATGCCTGGAATTATCTTAGAAATTTAATGTTATCTTATGACACATGGTCTTCCAATGGGTATATGAATGATGATGAGGAAATTAGGGCCACCCTAGGGCTTGATAGTTGTTGTTAGGGTTTGGTCATCATGATGTTCATTATCCTCATGTATAATTTGTCGCACTTGCATGATTTCTGATTTATACCTTCCCACCTCATTACTGTTTGTATTTGTTATAGAGGACCATCTTCTCTGCCGCTCTTGCCATCTAATTCCTCAGGATCTTTTCATTTGTCGTTTGCGCTTTTATTATATTTGTTATGAGTAGAGCACTCGGAAAATTCTTTTAGCTCTAGATGGTAATGCTTCCGACAAATTACTTTCTGAATCTGGTGGAACAGCCTATGCATAATTTGTTTTGTTTTTTGTCTTTATTTTAATGGAAGATAAATGTGTCCATGCAAGCATTTGGAATAGAGAGTCAAAAATTTATTATTTGACGTCCAACATGACGTTCAAGAAAATTGAAATTCTTTTATCACCTCAAGTGTTAATTATACGATGCCCTTTTGTCACGCGTGTTCAAGACTGTTTATCTATCATGTGCCATTTATAACACTTCATGGAGTAGAGTTTTATCATAATCTGATTAGTGTAAGGCATTCGCTCTATTTTCTTTTGAGATGTTGATTTTGGTTCACTTCCTTGCTTGGTCTCATTACTGTTTTGTTGTTGTTTGATTGCTACTTCATTTGTGTATTTGAAGAAAAAGTGCAATTTCTTATCTGTCACTTCTTACATTTTTCCAGAGGTTAACTTTGTTAGTTGATGTGCAGGAGTATCTGGTTTGAAGCGGCAACTGTTGTGGCTGTTCCTTTGCCTGTGGAAATATCTGCTGGAAGTGTTCTAAAGTCAGCTTTGGCGGGAGGGCTTTCTTGTGCATTGTCGACATCGCTGATGCACCCTGTCGACACAATTAAGGTATGCCTTTTAAGTGTCTTTCTTGTGCAAGTTGTGTACATATTTAATAGCCTATGTGTTTTCCCTGTTTCCTTATAAACAAATTTGTGCACATCTGGATCCTGGCTTGTCTTGTGGATATCATCCCACTTTTTGCATCATTATCTCATCTTTTCATAAACAGCATTATATGTGGTTACAAAAATTATCGAGTCTTGATATTTTTGACAGCTCCTTTAGTTTGTAACTGGTTGTTAGTTCAGATTTTGAATTGATATTTAGTGACACTTGCCTGTACAAGATGTTCTTCCTGTTAGCATTTATACCTTCTTTTTTTTTTTTATCTGAGCACTGCACTCTTGGGTTTTATGAATTTTGTTACTTTGATTATGGGATGTATGCAATTATGAGATATTATCTTCCCGTTAAGTTCTGTTTCTGGAATGAGGTTTTGTCAGCTATTTGAAAATATGCTAGTTGCTAATAATCTCTTGATATCAAATTTGCTATTACCATGTTTATGGGCATACGCTATGGATTATATTTCTTGCTTTGACCTTACCTCTTTTAACCCGGACCCTCATAAATTTTACTTGGAGTTTTGTCTGATTTTTAAATAATTAATTTTACGCGTTTTAGTAGGGTTTTTTTGGCTCCCTGTTTAAGAAATGACGTTATTATCTACAAAAGGACATTTCTTTTTTGTTGAAATGGTTCACAGAATGCCAACAGACTCATATTGCTAACAGACATTTTTTTGAATAGTTACGATATACGTAGTAGACCTTAAATGCATTAAAAACAAGGTTTAGTAGACCTCAAATATTTTTTGAAGCTGAGTTATGGGTGTTTCTCTGCGTGATGGGGTTTGACTCTCATAGACGTTGAGGGACATATGTATTGTTTTATGATTTTTATTACCTGTAGCTGTAGAAGTTTCCAAGTTTAAAATTTGGGGTTAAACTTCTAAGCGTTTCACAGTTCTTCACCATTCCAGAAATTTTTATTTATCAGAAATTATCAACCTCCATACTCTTTTAAGTGCTCTGATGAATTGAGCAAAGAAAATTTGTTATTATTTTGGTCAAAAGTATATATTGTTATCTTTCTTTTGGCTTCTTTGATGGGGAAATCTAATAAATGATTATTGTTCCAGACTCGAGTGCAAGCGTCAACACTTACCTTTCCCCAAATCTTGTCAAAGCTGCCAGAACTTGGAGCACGTGGATTGTACCGGGGTTCTATTCCTGCAATTCTTGGACAATTTTCAAGGTTGGGTTATTGTTTTGGGTGCTTCTTCACATCATTGCAAGATATGATCCCTGCATTTTATGTCATTATCTCATGGGTGACGAGTAAATTTATGTTGCAGCCATGGATTGCGGACTGGCATTTTTGAAGCTAGCAAACTTGTGCTGATAAACGTTGCTCCAACACTTCCAGACCTGCAGGTGAAGCTTTTCTGGTGTTTTATCTTAGTTGTATTGGCCATGTCCCAGTTGTTGTTTTTTTTTTCTGAGATATTTTGATGTCATTTATTTGTCTTTTACATAAGCATCTGGGAACTAGTACTTCTGACTTTTAGTCTCTGTCCAGGCTGGCCTCATAAGATATGAAGTGTTTTTTGACGTCTGCAATTAAATCTTTTTGTGTAATGATTGCTTTTGCAGAATCCGTGTTCGTAACATAGGAAAAACGTGCTTGTTAGTTGACCATTTGAAGTTTGATGTGGTATTAGATAAGCTTTTATTTGCTTGTAAGGTTCTATATTTCTCTCCTTCCAGGTCCAATCTGTTGCATCCTTTTGTAGCACTTTTCTGGGAACAGCAGTTAGGATACCTTGTGAGGTCTTGAAACAAAGGTTGCAAGCTGGGTTGTATGAGAATGTGGGGGAGGCAATAGTTGGTACTTGGAACAAAGATGGTCTGCAGGGTTTCTTCCGTGGCACAGGTGCCACTCTTTTCAGGGAAGTTCCCTTTTATGTCGCAGGCATGGGTCTTTATGCCGAATCTAAAAAGGTACCTTAAGCTCTTACTGATCTGAATATCCTGTGGTGTGGCTCCCGTTCCTTGTGTTCACTGTAGGATCCTTTTTTCTGTGCTGATATGGTAACTAGTAAAAGGCAATGTTCGTCTCTCTTTCATTTTATTGTTCCGCCTTCAAGGTTTTGAAAAGGAAATAATACATCTAAAATCTTCTATTTGAGTTGCAATTAAACCTATGTTTTTACCGAGGTCTGCTGCGTGACATTACACTTTAGAATAAGACTGAACTGAATACATTCATTGGATGCAGTTTGGCCTTATTATTTAGCATTTGTTGGAATACACTTCTAAGGTTTGCCATTTGACAATTTCAGTTCGCGCAAAAACTTCTGTGCCGTGAGCTGGAACCCTGGGAGACAATTGCAGTCGGGGCTCTATCTGGTGGACTAACTGCTGTATTGACTACTCCATTTGATGTTATTAAAACCAGAATGATGACTGCCCAAGGTAGGAATTTGTCGCTGAAATTGGTGGCCTTATCAATCGTTCGCCATGAAGGAGCCCTTGGATTGTTTAAAGGAGCCGTGCCTAGGTTCTTCTGGATTGCTCCTCTGGGTGCAATGAACTTTGCTGGCTATGAGCTTGCAAAGAAAGCAATGGATGGAAATGGTGATGAAAATAGTGACCAGAACTCCCAGAAGAAGTTAGTTAACCCTGGCCAGGAGGCAAAGTGATCAAGATAGAATCAATCACCATGCAACATCAATCAACCTCTTTTTCTTCCAACTGTCTTCATTTAAGTTACAGGAAAATTTTGAACTTTTTTGTTCCAGAGTAGATTTAGCGATACATGGCTCAGATTATCTGTCGAAATCCCTGTGGTATACCATCCTGGAAACTTGGAAGTTTCCCATATCATTTGTAAGATTTTTCTTCTTTCTTGAACTCATAGGAAATGGTAAACAGAGGCCCGTCCCTCGTTTTTGCCTTGTAAGTAAACCTTGTAACTTTTACAACAGCAGGCAATTTTTAGGTTGTCTCTTTTAGAACTTATATTGTTGTTAATTTTTTTTTTTGTTTTTGAGATTTGTGCTAGAGCCTTTGTTTGCTTTCCTGAGTACTTGTGTTAGTATCATTGCAATTACAGCAATCGGTTAATCTGTTGTTTCCACAAAGAAAAACAGAAGAAAAGAGGTGAAAAAACCTAAGCAAAAGAAGCATTATGTTGCTTCACTTTGTGGGCACCCTCCAACAGGTAAAGAGTCCTAATACAATTTTTTATGGGTATAATAAGCAAAAGCCCTTGGAATGATTAAACTTTAAAGGAGCAGTGCCTAGATTCTGAATTGCTCCTCTGAAAAGAGCTGAAAAACCTAAGCAAAAAGAGCTCAATACACAACTGCTATTCCCTCCAGTTTTAAAAAATAACTTACATTGAATTTTGAGATTTGTAGAGAATAATACGAAATACACATAGTAAGTTTACCGTTAAAAATGTATTATTTTATGCTGGAGTCATAAAAATAAAAATGTACTACCTCTGTCCCAAAAAAAGTCCACATTGAATTTTCAAATTTGTACGAAAAACAGTACAAAACTCAAAATTCGATGTGGACTATTTTTTTTTTTTTTGAGAATGGAGGGAGTATTATTTTATGCTGGAGTCATAAAAATATATACTATTTCTTTGGTCTTATAACAATAATAGCCTAACAGCTATTAAAGTTGGCAATTTCTTGTCATTGATATAGAGTTGCGGAAAATGAAATTCTTAACAAGGAGAATTTCATCCATCTCATGTACAAAACACATAATAGAACTCTGATGCTCCTCGTGTATAGACAACTTGGTTCTTCTACCTCCAATGGATCTGCATTTATGTCCCTTCGGGAAAACTAGAGCGTGATAGGAAAAATGTTGTAAAATTGGACCAACACGAAATTAAAATACATGTAACCAGAATCGTAATTCTAAGGTGTAAAATTACAACAAAAACTTGAAAACGAATCATCCAGTATGAATAGGGTTGGCTTGAATCATACCAAAACAATAAAACATCAAAAGAATCATTCCAAAAAGTGTATGGACTAAACACACCATATTGATTGACTAACTAATTGACTGATCCACAGCGTTATTGGCTACTAAACCATTATAATTATTAACCTTTATTTCAAATGAGTACAAAAGAACCTTGATTTCATGATATATCAATTTCAAGTACCACCAAAACTTCACCACTTTATTATTTATATTTTGCAAAAAAAAAAAAAAAAAGCAACAAAGGAATAAAGTTAGTGAGTCTCAGTCAGGTAGCTAGTGCTTCCCTAAAAGACTGCATCAAAACCGTTTGGACTTTTGGTTCGCGAAACGGCAAACTAGAAAAAAAAAGAAAAATGGCAAAAAGAAAGCATTAAAGCACAAAAGTTTTCAACTTGGGGATTTGTTCACTCGTCAAACAGTTTCCTCCGACATGGTCTTCTTGTTCTCACCTAGGTTCTTTTTCTTTTCTTTTTTTTTTTCCGAAAGAAAACTCTAATTAGAGGATTAATTATGTCATATTTTAATTGAAATGGATGATTCTCCCTAGATTTACTATAGACTTCTTGGCTATTGTTTTTCTGAAATATACTCCCCGTGTCCCAAAATTATTGTCCAGTTTGAAATTTCACTTTTAGTACAATTTGAACTAGAAATAAAAACCTAAACTGGACAATAATTTTAGGAGGGAAGGAGTAGTAGTTTACTATCTGTGCTTGCTGCTGTCATTTTTTCCCTAGTTTTATTTGTTACTCATATATCTTCTACCTTAGTGGCCTAGGAGAAATAATAAGATGCCCATTTGACAATTTGGTTGAAGCCATTGGTCAATCACTATATTCCACTGTCAAATTTCTCTAGAGGACTAGCTTCTTTTTCCCTCTAATTATTTTATACTCCATCCATTTCCAATGGGGAAAAGAACATCCTTTTTGGTTTAAAAAAAAAACAGTAAAAATTTAGAACGAAAGAGTATTGCTTTAAACCAATATTATTAAGCGTGCTCGGAGAATAATATCAGAATTTTTAATTTTTAAAATGAACACATAAAACACAATTGTCTTATTATTACACGGTACGATTTATCGTACCGTTTACGGTGGATACTACTATTCCACGAGACATTCAAATTCCATGCACATTCATTTCATTAGGTTCATGGTTGATATGATACGATGGCCTTGATGAAAAAAAGAAAAACTAGAGGTAGTTGCAGCTTTTTTTTCTTCCCCCATAAATAAACAAGTGTTCACTTATTAGGTCCCATATAAACGAGTACGCCGAATTCTATACTATATAGTACTCGTTTTTCAGTTAAAACATTTTATTTATTTATTGATTTTGTTTCAAATGGACAAGCACATATAACTAGCCCAACACAACGCGTAATCTCTATACAATCAATAATGAATCATATCACATTATTGTTTCTATACTATGTGTAACCCTTCTTCTTCAATTCATTCTAGAAAATTAATACTTGGAATTTTTCCGAATCTTTTTTTGTCCACCAAATTAACCACATAATTCAACGTCACATGATGCAGCCCCATAATTAATTTAATGTACTGTAATTAGAACTACAACTACGCAGTAGGAGTGTTATTAATTATACCACTCATCAATTCACATTTTCACACATACAATATTGAAGAAGAAGAAGAATCTATTAGCTATAGAAAAGATACCAATAAATTGACTGGTTTTTAAGTTTGTGGGCTCTTGGGATGAGATCCATCTTCATGATTCATCAGTCAGTAGAAGTACTGCTACAATTGCAGAAACATTCTCAATTTATGTCTTTTCTGATCATTTGTGATCTTCATGGAATCATTGGACTTTTAAGGATTTTTTTTTTTTTTGGGTTTTTTTTTCTAAAGATTTTTCACATACTAATCTTATTTATGAGCCCAGCTGCCAAGATGTCTGCTTTACTTACGATTGACTTGGATAGGTAACCAGTAGTAGTATATATGGGGCTGCGGAATTTATTGTACCACTTGAAGTACTGGGTGGAAGATGAAGCAATTACTATGGGAAACTTTAATTTAATTATTTTTTTTTCTTTTTTTCTAGATGATCGATCGATCGGTTCGATCCATAGTGCGATGAGTTTGACGATGTTCTTTGTTCACACATCACACTCCAACCCTTTGAATCCATGAATCAAATTTTTTATTACCAATATATATATATATATATATATCTAGGTTATATTTAGTTGTCAATTAATTGACTAAGATGGATTAAAAATCTTGAATGGAGCATTGGGTAATGATAGAGATGTTTTTAAAAATAGCAAATGGATTTCGTTCACTAATTTTGTGGTCAAGTAACATTACTTATAAGGAGAAGAATTAGATTTTCTTTCCCAATGATAAGAGACAAAAACTTATAAAAACTAGATTGATTAATGTTTTGCATGCATGGCTACAAGCTGGTATGCAATAATTTTATTATTTTTTTTGGAGAAGTTGATCTTAACTAATTTAGTCATTCATAGCACACCTTAATTAAGTAATTTAAACATTATTAATGGGTAAAAAAAAAAAACCAAAAACCATCTCACGAATTGCGTATGAATTATATCTAAAGGTCTTTTTGTTAATTCCACATATAAAGCCATAAAGTACTGACGAATTGTCTCCCGCATCACCAAAAAAAAAAATAAAAAATGATTGTCGTTATTACACAATATATAGTCGGTGTTAACGTTGTCGTTCATGTATATATAGTGTCAATACATAGTTGTGAATTCCAGGAAAGAAACAGCAAAACAAGCTTAATTAGCACCCAGAATAGGAAAATTCAGAGCAAAAAGTTTTCTAACATGTACTCCATCTCGTAGTGGAATTATCGATCGACCAACTACAAAACTTTTCAATTCTAATATTATAGGTTGTGGGAAATTAAGGTTCTTACAAAACACACATGCCACATTAGTCTCTCGAACTTTCTCTTCAGTCACAATTGATTATTTTTGTTCTAAGAGATTAAATCATTGCGTACAGACAGACGTACTTGTCGGTCTCTTAGAACGAAGAATTTGAGAATTAATCCAATTCCCAATCATGCATACCAGTAGAAGGACTGCTTGCGGTTTCCTCTATTGCGATTTGACTCGTCATCATTGTATCGTATTTTTTCTCTCGGTTCTAGAAAAATAATTTATTTTATTGAATTAAAATAGTATGAGTGCATGATAAAGTCGGCTATTGAAATGAGACGGAAAGAGTCTTAGATTCATTTCTTTTAATTTCTTCGAACGTACAAATATTCAATTTCTTCCATTGAATAAACTGTGGGAAAGAAAAACATTATGTTCAGTGGATGCATGCATGGTGGAAAATGTTCATGCAGAGTGGAAAAGACGCGTTAAAAGTTTTTTTTTTTTCTTTTTCTTTTTCCTTTTTTTTTGGCTTTGAAAATAAAAAAAAGAAGAAGAAAGAATAAACAAAAATGGCAGAGACGAAAGAAACCATAGAAGAATATTGCATTCAAAAGCTGCAGGTTTGAACATATTGCAAGCCGACACAAGTCACACAACCAAGGCATATGCATAAATGGAGCACAAGATCATTAATTCGTTTCGCTTGTTCTTTACAAACTGCGAGATCATTATCATAAACCGAGGTTATTTTTTGAAGTTTGCAATTTTTCACAAACAAAAACGCGATTTCTAACAATAAATTGCAAAATCGTGTCTTCACTGCCACTTTCTATTGTGAGAAACCGTATTTCATTTGTGATAAATCGCTGGACGGTTTGTACAGTTTGATCGGTTTGAATTAATCCATAAATTAATTTTTATATTTTATTCTCAATAAATGATGTTAATTCGATCATTTTTTAATTAGTCTTTGTTTATTATTCTAATAACACTTAATAAGGGATATAAAAGATATTTGACATACAAATTAATTGTTAAATGATTATACTTTTTGGTTTACACACGTAAAAACTAAAGTAACTTTACATTTAAAAAAGAGGGTGCAAAAATGTTGTTCTTGCTTCTTGAGGATAGGAAAGAGTACATTTTCATTACGCCGAACTATAATAGTTTCAGGACATATGCGCCCTGAAAATTTCCTCTTTGTACAGTTATCTGTCTACCATATATAAGAAGCCATAATAATACTTTGAAAATAAATATTACTACATGTGAAATTGATGTCAAAGGTGCCGGAATTTTTCCGACTAGCAAGAGACATTAATTTGAAACTAAACTACTTATATTATATATTCTGTGTGCCTATATCTGTAAATAATCTTTGCGTCCACACTTTGCAGATCGACATTAATTGATTAATCCTTCTAGACAATGAATCATTAAAATCTCCAAAAATCATCATTCATCATCATCAGGTCCAAAGTGGCTCCCATGCAGCATAGAGATTCTCATCATCAAGAAAGAAGCTAGTTGTATCATTCTTGTTTTCACTATTAGTAGTATTCGGGCAACTAATGATCATCGTATCATCAGATGATGAAATGGGTTCTTGATGATCATTATCTTGTGACTCCATTGATGATGATGAACTTCTAGCGCTGCAAATAATGAAGGACCTGAGGTTATCATTCTGGCATTGCAAGTTTAACATCTCTGCCTGTGCTTTTGCCAGTTCTGCTTGAAGCTCACTGATTTGCTTCTGCAGCTGACAAATTGCTCCTGCACACCCATAGATTGGATCTCGAATCCTCGAATTCGCCTCGTAAACCATGCTGTTTACTGCATCTGCCCTTTGATCCTCTGGCAGTTCCTATAGAGATAACATGCATAATGGTCAGTCAAAATAGAAAGTCCGAACATACTCTATTTAAATAACTGATACCACTATTTAAATTTTACTGAATGTCCAAAATTGGACAAAATAAACTTGATCATTTGCATCATTTGATTGGAACTGGTTTGCAACTTTTTCAAGAAGAGGGTACAGTGATTAAAATGGATACCAAATTTAGGTACCAAATATTAAGTAATTAAAGTCAGCTGATATTGAAAAATAATCACCAGAAAAATTGAAGTGATTGGATTTGGATTGGGACATAGTCAAAGAATAGTCAATAAGTTAGTCAAGAATAGTGTAAAGTGAAATGATATGTATATTGGTACTACTACCAACTAAAAGCTCTAATTAGTCATAATAAAGATTCCACTGATCATTATTATAGACTACCAAAAACAAAAACATCTTTCACATCTTCCAATCTTTCTTTTATCTTTCCTTTTATTAATTCCCATTGGAAGTCAAACAATATAGCAAATTTGAACAGTGATCTTTTTGTGTGTGAGAAAATGATGGTAGAACTAAACCCACTAAGAATTTTTGTATGTTTGAATTTATTGCTAAAAAAAAAAAATCAAATCAAAGAATTTGTATAACTCACCTGCAACATTTTGATAATGTTGCTAGCTCCAAAGACTTTATGTGCAATGGTGAACTTTAATGGCTCAGTTGGTGGAAAGTATGGAGCCAGTACACATTTCTCCACGCATCTCCGGCGGAGGATCTTGCATGCGGCGCAAGGGACGGCGATTCGTGGAGGAGACGGTGACGGAGTTGACGGAGTTTTGGGAGATCCGGCGGGAGATAATGGTGATGAAGGTGAGAGAGAATATTGATGAGGAGGTGAAGTAGCCAATTTTGGAGTTATATTGGTGGAAATGATTTTATCAGCACTACTGATGTTGCAAACCATATTGAAAGAATAATTAAAATGAAGGAAGACAAGATTTTCTGATTGTGTGTGTGTGTGTTTTTCTGGTGTTGAGCTTTGTAATGTGCTTTGGAGGGGTGTGGTGTCTTTGGGGTACAAAAGCAAGGCAATATATATAGTGAGAGAGGGCAGGAAAAATCCCCTTGGAAGGGCCCTCCTGATCACTCATACTTAGACTTGCATGTTGTGCCCACTTTGATTTTTTTTTTTTTTTTACTTTAAAAAAAAAAGCTTCTAAAATTTGCAAATAACTTACGATCAAATTTCGTAATTACAATCCCCGCTCTTATCATCTTGTATATAACTAGTAATAGTATATCTTCCTAGCTAGATGTTCATCTTATTTAAACTTAGTAGTTCTATTGCAGAAGTCATCCTACATAAATTTGAAATGAAGTACGTTTCTGTCTCAAAATTATTGTTCAGTTCAAATATAAAATAAACTAAAAGTAAAAGTCCAAACTGGACAATAATTTTGAGACAGAGGGAGTAATTGAAATATATAATCATCAACTTCAACAATTTTTTTTTTTTAATTTATTGCGATTGTCTCCCATGTTCAATCACCTTTAATTTACACGTGATGTAAAATGGTAGTATTACATTTGCTTCAACTTCTACAATTTTATATTGAATAAAAACATTTGAAACATAAAAATTGTACTTATAATCTATTTAAGTTAGATGTATGTAGTCGCAAGGGAAAAGAAAAAGCCCGGGAATGTTGATGTCATCATGTGTCAAGAAACCTACTTGGATGAGATCATCGATATTCCTCCCCAAATTTCAAAAGAATATTGCCGTGGATGGGGTTTTCTTTTTTTCCCACTTAAAATTAGAATTGTTTTTTTAGCAAATTGTTGACCCCTGTCGTCCATAATGTAAACCAAAGTCCCAGTTCGTACGTCGTTGGTAGTAGTTCAAAAAGGAATCATCACTAATCATCATTTAACTTTAATTTTTCATTATGCTTAGTCCTGAAGGTCTTCAACTAAAAGAGGCACCATTGGATAGTGATGAAGTGACTACATTTTACTACTTAAATTTTAATTAATTTTGATTACATAGTAATTGACTCCATCGACGTATGATTTGAGAGGTAATATATTATTCGGATTAAGAGAGAAAATACAAATCAAAGTAGCGGCAAATTTTGATGTTGACTCAGTCGAAAAGATGGACCATTTCATGTCAAAAACGGCAAAAAAGTTGTTAATGAAAAAAAATTCTATATTAGAAAGAGCTCGTGGAATCAGGATTAAGTGGATCACTTTTGCCTGAAAATTAATATGCTACGAGTTGGAACACTACTCGAACTTAAAAAGTAGATTAACTATAAAATAATATCATGAACAATGATTCTCTTAAAAGTTGAGAATTTATTAGCTAATGATATAGTGAATAATAATGCTACACGTATTAAAAATACAAACATATTTTAAAATACATTATTATTATACTTTTTCAAAAAATTAATGTGGATTAGTATTTTCAATACAAGCATTAACTTTTAGTATTCTGGTATTGTGCATTTTCAACAAAAACGTCATGTCTTTGTTGAACATAATGATCATATCTTTGGATCGAAAAACAGTTTTGGTTATATATCTTTCCTTTTATAATGTATATTACGTCTAGAATCTTGACAAAAGTTAAACAAAAAATTGCCTTTTTTGTGAGATTAGTGAAGGGAATTAAGGCCTTGACTGTGGAACAAAAAATCTTTGCAGTACCAAAATAAATGCTAAACAAAAAAAGAAACAAATGAACAGCAAGAATTTCTTTATTGGATGAATCATAAATAGAAGAATGACACGTATCTCAAAATGGCCTCCCAAAAACAACCCCTCTGTTGGTGTTGGGTGCCGACTATTTACCCTCCAAAATGACTATTTTGAAATGCAGCTAGAAATTAGCCAAACACTGTTCTAATCGATAGTTTTAATTTCCCAACTACTTGAAAAAATAAGGTACAAAAAGAGTAATAATATTAATTGTGGGCTCATTAACAGAAAACGACTCTAGCCAAAACTACAGAGGAAAAAACAAAGAGTTGAAATCTGAAACGTACACATAAGCTAGTTTGGTGAGAAACCGCTGAGGCTCGTGTGGAACGAGATTGAGACTATTTTAGTTTTCCGCTTAAGTCATACTGTACCACAATATCAAGATAGCGACCATCGATCCAAAGTGGCTTTCTATTCGGTATGTGTGTTTTAATCGGTCTTTCTTTCGGGCATTTGATCTTCATTTCTTCCCCTCTTCTTAATTAATTAAGTCTTCTCAACCTTTGGAAATTTTGGTTATGGTGGAAGTAGTTACAGCTTTATTTTCTAAAAACAAACTGTACTTCCTCTGTCCAAAAAAAAAAAAAAAAGAAAAGACCACCGAGTTTTGAAATTTGTATTTAAACTAATACAAACTTTAAAACTCAATGTGGACTATATTTTCTCTGGACTATGATTTTTTTTTTGTGTGTGTTTTTTTCCCTACTGAAGTAATTTACGTGTTTATTTAGGCATGTTTTCTCTTATCTAATTAAGTTAATTTTTAAAAGTATGTATACTCTCTCCGGCCGACTGATATTATTAGTTTTACTTGATTTGCTAATTCGTGTAACTTTTATTTGAGTTTCCGATTCACTCTTTCTGCTGATTAGAATATCTCATTTTAAGTCTTAATGGACGAACAATACAGAATACTACGTGCATGCATACAATATGCATGAATTGTGCTTTGATAGTCATGAGGCCTACGATGGAAATGGATCGTGCTTTGAGATGGAATGGCTTACAAGTTGTGTACTTAAATATGTAAGACTTTTAACGGTGGAGTCATTAGATTTGGGATGATAACTTTTTCTTTTGCAAGTTGTGACACCACTTCTTGACATTGGTAATTCAGTTGAAACTTTGAATTGAAAATATATTTGTCAACTTTGTCTCTTTGGAATAACACGTCAATCAAAAAATGAATTAATTACTATTATTAACGGTAGATAATTATATGTAAAAAAAAACAGAAAAGAAAAAGAGGATAAGGGTATGCCAAGTAACAAATGGAAGAGTGGACTCTGCTCATGAAGATATGATAGTACTAATTTAATAAGAAATGGAAAGAAAACTTTCCTGTTTGACTTCACTACTCTCCTCTAGTAATAACTTTAGAATGTAATTGCTATTTGCGTGTGGACCAACGTTGTGCATGGTGATGGTAGTTAACGAAAATCAGTACTAATTATTTTGTAAACACACTGACCGTACAGAAAAGGAATATGAATTGATTAAAAAAAAAAGATAACAAGATGGCTGATTGACGATTGATCGTCGTCTTCTTCCCTGTTGAACCCTTTTTCCATTTCGTTGATTATTTACTGACTGAAAATGTTCAAGATTTTGAAATGGAAACGATATTTATATATTATTTTAAGACATTGAATAATACTCTTATTCTGTATTCTGACACATCTATGTAATATAAAATAATAATTATGAAAGATAAAGCAGTTATTCTGAATTTTATTATGAAACGGAAAGAGTATCATATATCTGAACTTGCAAGGTAGACGGTTTATCTTTGTTACTGACCATATATGACCAATGATGAATGAATTGGAACATTCAATATACAATATTCTGGGGAGGGGCAAGGAAGGAGACATAGAGCACATCAGTATTATGAAATTGTCTGTGACAAATTTTGGGGCCAAAAAAACGGCTGGCCGCCAGTTCTTCGACTGCCCACACGGTTTCTTACGTACAACAACATTAATTGGTTACAGTTTCTTTAGCTCTAGCTTCCATTTTTATTGCCTTTTTTATACTCCTACTAGGAATTATATATCACTCTGTAGCAACACCGGAGTAAAGAGGTAGTGGCATGGTATGGTAGCAACCAATTTTTTTTTTTTTTTTTTTTTTGGCCTTTTGTGTTTTGTTCTGGAAAATGAAACGAGCAAGCACTAGACCGTTGTTAAATTAGAAACTAATTAGTTAACCTTACTTAAGAAACTCTTCATGAATTCTATATGGTTTGAAGCTAGTTGGTCATATTCAAAATTATAAGTTGCATTTGATCTTTATAGAAGTCATAAAATTATACCTTAAAATCAATTGACCATGAAGAAAGTATTATAAACAAAACATATATATATATATATTAATAAAAAATATCTCGCAATACCGATATGAAATAATATAACAAAGGTTCAAACAGTATTTCATTTGTATTACTTACTGGTTTCTAGCTTATGTGCAGGGCGGAACTCTTAAAGGGTTCAGGGGTACTGAGCCCTTCCGGCCGGCCGAAAAGTCCTTAACGGGAGTCACGATTAATCTTACATCATATATATTCGACCATCGATCTTAATTATTAATATATAGTTAGTCCCTCCAAATCTGAGTAGCCGGTTCCGTCGTTTATGTGGATTGCGAGCTATATTGTGAGACGAGATTAGTTCATTAACACCTAAATATAAAAGATTGAAATGGATATACTACACATTGCCTCCCAATATTTCCTCGAAAAGCGTGGTTTTTTTTTTTTTGTGTGTTTGTGAATGTTCGTTTGTTAGTGGAGTGGGTATATTTTTGGCTGTTGATGTTGTGGGTAGTCGTAACTACGCGGAGAAATGGACAATATTTTCAAGCTTATATATTACTGTAACGCATTTCTATATACATTTTATTGGACACCACTTTATCCATCTTAGCAAACATGTGAGGAAAAAAAAAAACAACATTCCATTTTTTTTCAAGAACAATTGCTACTCACTACCACTCGTTTTCACACCATTTTTTCTTTATTTCTTTTGAATAATTTTTAATTTTTTCCGAGAGAAGATCTTCAAAATCCTGAAGAGACACATCTGGGAATCCAGAATACGTATCAGTGCATGCATCAATTCATCTTACATCTTGATAGGACAACGATTTCTTTTGTTTATTTTTATTTTTTGTCAAAAGATTTTGTTACTTTTTAAAATAATATAAGGAATTTAATAAATTACAAATTGTAGTTAATTAGTTAAGTAATGTATGGCTCCACGATTTTGATAAGTTGCACAATACTGAACATGCATGGGCTTCACGTACCGCATATGTGCGTAGTACGACCCTTTAATTTTTCATTTTTATTTTTTCTTTATTTTTTTTAGAAAGGTTCAACTCATATAAAATTAAGCCAAACTAGCATACTAAAATTGCTTGTGACGAGTCTTTGTGTCCCGAAATAATTATTCAATTTAGATTTTTATTTTTAATACTACAATTTTTACTAATTTTAAACATCGAAATAAGATAATCATTTTGGGACAAAGAAATATCGATTTTCACCAATTTAATACCATAAATTCTTCCTAATTAAGCAATTATTGATTTATCATTAATCAGAGTCTCTTAATCGATTATGCAAAGAAAAAGGGAAAGAAAAAATAATCAGAGCGAAACCTCAGACCTCGTCGGAAGTTTGGTTCATAAATCTTCAACACCTCTTAAGATTGTAAACAAATAGTAATGCTGGCACATATTCTCTTTTCTTCCTAACAAATTATAAAATTTTATTATTCTCTTTTCTTCCTCACAAATTAAACAATTTCATCAGTAAAACATATTTTTTGAATTGTACGTATATTAGCCCAGTCCACTGGCAAGCCCACTGAATAATTTACAATTATGATTTGGGCTCAATTGATGCCTCTCACCTTAGTTGAATAATAAAATATGTTCTATTGACGATCGTACTTCTGTATCCTTGAGTTCAAAGGAGACACAGCAAACCAAGTCGGGTAGATTGATTAATGGCCACTTGACCAGAGCGTGATTAACAGCTCTCTGCACCCTTTGGGTCGGAGCCGTCCTAGAGGATCGTTCACTCTGGCCAGACTGGGGTGGTCTTGTGAAATTTGAAAAAAATAAAAATATCTTATAATAAGTACCAGAAGAATATATCTCTGAATTTTAAGGACCCATCTCGTTGACCTATATATTGCAAAATTTGACAGCTCTAACATAATTTTCTGCAATGAAGATCGTTGTCTTCGGCAAATGTTGTGCATTTCCATATACTCTTGTGGTAAGTTACGAGAACTATACATTTCATTTTCTGAATTGTTAGACACTCAAAACGATTGTTGAAATAAGTAATAAAGTGTAATAAAGAATGAGCATGTATTTGTTTCATATCGAAAATTCAAAGTCATTTTGACTAATACATAAATCATGTTTTAAGCCTTTCAAGAGAACTCTTACCAGACGTTTGGGAATGTTTAGTTGGTTTGGGGAATAAGGCAACTTGGATAACTTACATATGCTCTACTCGCCTCTATAAAATTTAGATCTAGCGTGATTCCATTTTAGAAAGACCTCAGGATAATTGAGGGACAAGCCTAGTTAAAAACCAGCCTCTAGTAGAGATCCGAACAAAATTTAGTGCGAAATAAGAAAATTTATCTATATCTATGTATACCCCATTATAACAAAAAAATTTAATTTCATCCTAATTTTCAAGTGTCTAATTTTTCTAAAAAAATTGATCTTAAATTCCATGTGTCAATTTGTCCCAAATTGTAAAAACTACATACCAGATCATGACTGAACCAAAAAAAAAAAAAAAAACACAAAATTAGAATTAACTGCTTATCCACGAGATAAATTGCTCCACAATCAATTTTCTCTGTGATCAAGCCATTACTGCATTACTCACGTAAATATTTTTCAAGCGGCTTTCCTGAGGCTCTTCAGTCCTACAAATCAATTGTCAATCGTGCCAATGGTTGTTTCTCAAACAAACTTTCCGTTCAAATTCAAAGATTTCTTCCAATTTTGTTTCAGCGCCACAAGAAGAATACCAAATTCAGTATTTTCGATGTTTTTCAATGAACTTTCAGCATTGTTAAAACTTAAAACAATCATGAACAACAAACACTGGTAATTCTGATGAGATGGATTTGATTTCAATACATGTGATGAATTTAATTTGTGATTCATCCGAATCTTTATGATTGTGTAGATGGAACTTCCAGTAACTTATACTCCCTCTGTCCCAATATTATTGTCCAGTTTAAGATTTCACTTTTAGTACAATTTGAACTAGAAATGAAAACCTAAACTGGACAATAATTATGGGACGGAGGGAGTATGAGCTTGTGAGCAAATACGAATACCAAATTAGTGTAATTATTGTCAAAAGTTTAAACTAATCTTTTTGTTTTGACAACTCGATAGATTTAACCAAGAAAAAAACCGATAATTTGTTAAACTTTGTTTCTCCATTGCATTTCACAAAATTTGATTTTTTTTTCAGTCAAATTAGTATAATTACTATAAATCCGAAGAATTACTTTAAACAACGATTACCAATCTGTTTTCTCTTTCAAAATTTTATTACTAATAATATAAGTATTATTATTTCAAAAAAAAAATTTCTTTAAAGATCGAGAATATCGAGGAGTGGATAAATTTAAATTGTGATGACGAAGATATGGACTTGAGACTCAACCATTTGATACACCATCATTTTGCTCTACTTAAATTTGTTGGGAAGAAAAGAAACATCTTAGGCTTAAGGCCAAACCCATGCAAGGCACGAGTCTATAATCTAGTTTAGTTCATTTGAGATCGTCTAAATTATGCATTCTTTAGTTGGGGAATTTTACATTTAAGTTGCTTGTTATTTTCAATTGCTTTGATAATATCTGTTACTCTCCTAATGTTCTCCTGAAAAACCATCCATTATTTTTAAAGCATTCATAGTAGTGATAAATAATAAGTAAATAATCACCTTATTATATTATTTATTACAGTTGTGCTGAGTGTAATAACTTGTAACAACCTAGGAATTTTTATACTGTAAATACATTATTTTAGTACTGTTAATATATAATTATTATGGCTTTATGAGATCCAAAAATTATTTTATTTTCTTACACTTTTGCATGGTAAACTAATGTAATGAAAAATTGAATAAAAGTACAATATTAGAAAATTTGATATTATACTCACACAGAGCATAAACTATTGTAGATACTCTTTATAAAAGTATAAAAAGTTAAAGTTTGCTAAACTCTACCTTATACATAGACTCTAATCTTCAAACTTATAACTAGTTAAACGTAAATGTTTGGATGAACATGTAATTATTTGTCAATACATATTTTTTTGTACAAAAAAAAAAAGAAAAATAAAGACATTCATGAAATATTAAATTGTTTACTATAACAAATTATATTCACGGAGTTCCAAAATGATATCTAATTTATAATTTTAATTATAATACAATTCTTTGAATCCGGATTAGTCGAAACAGTAACTTCAGACACCGGGTGTGTAATATATAAAAAAACTAAACAATTATTTTAGAACGGAGAAAGTATATATTTCAATTGAAATCACGAAACATGGATCTTAAAGAAACAAACATGTTAAAAAACACCGCGCGCCTTGGTTTTTATTTTTTTTCTTAATCAATGCATTGCTGATATCATTTTTATGGCCATGCTTCGATCAAGGATTTGGAGGAAGATGTAGTGTTGAATCCAAATTGTAACAATTCTCTGCTGGTATCACATCTGTGAGCAAACACTTCAAGGAAGCACAAATAGTCTTTCTTCTCTCCTGTTGCTACTTCAATTGCCTTAATCAGCTCCTCTTCAGTTCGCACCTAGAATTTATCTCCAATATTGTGTCAGTTCCTACTTGAAAGTTCATATAGACATATAGGAAACATATGGTTTATAAAAAAAACAAAAGCTAATATATATCACACTAACACATGCTAATCACAATTTGTTCTTTCCTGCCGGATAATTAAGTCTATTCAGGAGCCAAAAACCAACTAAAAGTTGATGACATTTTAAGTTGAAATGAGTAAGTATACCTTCGCAGTCCAACAGTTGCCATCTCCATTGCAAAATGCATCGACAAGTGTAGTGTAATTCCAATTCTTGATGACATTATAGGGTCCATCGTGGATCCCAACCTCCATGGTATATCCTCCATTGTTGATTAAGAATATTATGTTTTTTTGGCCATTCCTTATCATTGTGGACACATCTTGAGCAGTCATCTGCAACAGTACCATGCACAATATTCATCTGATTAGTTATATTACATTTTTTTCGTTCCGAAATGATTATCATGTTTGGATATCGAAACTGATAAGAGATTATTATGTCAATATTTCTGTTTGACGAATAATGGAAATTCGACTAAAAGAAAACAAAAATTTCATAAACCTGAAAGCTCCCATCACCGATGCACGCAATAACACGCTTTTCAGGTGCAGACTGAGCGTAGCCTAGCGTAGCACCTATAGACCATCCGATAGAAGAATACAATAGTTGAACCTCGTACCTACGAATACCCAACTAGTCTACATTAAACAATATATATATATATATATATATATATATTTTTTTTTTTTCTATCAATAAAAGAGTTCGATATATCAATTTTATTTTTTTTTTGGTTTCCTTTCGTTTAAGTTTATAGACACACTAGCTAGACAGTTTATTAATTTTTCTAATACGCATGCATTTAGATTCTTACCCACAATTTTGTGGCAATTTGAGGTTCTGACAGTTGAACAAAGAATCTCCAGTTTCGGCAATCACAACAGTTTGACTTGACAGCATCTTTTGAATATAGTAAAACAGTATATTCGCCCTTAGAGGTTTAGGTCGACTCTTATGTGGAATTCCCGCAGGAACAAATATCCTGTCATAATTCTCAAAAGCAGTGTTATTTTTCTTAATCCTCTTTGTCAATTCCTGAAGGAAATCTTTCATGAGAACACATCCGAAAGCCGGGCCGTTCCCGATCACAACCCGGTCGGGCTGAACGATAATGGCTTTGTCCTTGTTGAGCAGCAATGAATGTCCAACAGTAGTTCCGTCACTAAAAACCGGGCCGACGAATATGTAAGCGTCCGCGGATTCTACAGTTTCACGGCAGAAGGGTGAGCTTATTGAACCCCAATATGTACCAATGAAGTGTGGGTGGTTCTCCGGCACCAGAAGCCCTTTTGCCGATGGCATTACGGCGAGGGGATAGGCAGATGCGTTCGCGAATTCGAGAAATGCATCGCCAGCCTTGGCGACTCGGAGCTTGGGGCCTCCGATCAACACCGGCTTCACTGCCTTATTTAGGAAGGTTGCTGCTGCTTCTGCTGCGGCCTCCACTCCCAACTTGTTGCTTAATCTGATTATCAATTAATATTGTATTAAAAATGAGAATCCAAACTGGACAATAATTATGGAACGGAAAGAATATATGTGTTTTTAGAGTAAATTTGAAAAGTCGAACTACATTTTAGCCTCGAGTTTTGGCCCAGTCTACCATAATGTTTAGATTGAAGGTTAGATAACTGGTTCATATATTATCCATTAATTAGGGGACTATATATCTGGGGTGATCATCATTACGTGCTTAAAACCCAAAAGAAGATGAACATTATGATATTTATACCTTGGTGAGATCGAAAGAGGAATGGGTTTCAGGCTAAATGTAGGATGTGAGCTTCCGGCCAAATTACAACTGATGCTAACATAAACAGGCAGACTTTCTTTCAGAGATGTAGAGATGGCCGTGTCAATTTGTTCTTGTGCGTCTTCCAACCGATTCACTACCGCCTAAATAAATAAAACAAGTAACTTTATTCAACCCCCATATTAGCTATATATAACTATGACGAATTAATTATTTGATCGATTTACACTTTAACCGCAAGGTCACTATGTAGTCCGTATAGTAAGTAGATCATGAATATGTTGCAATCGTACTTGGTTCATATATATATAGTCAAGGATTCAAGTTGTTCTTTTCCTATAAATGTACCATAAAAGAAGTCATATCTCGTTTATCAGTATTAAAGCAAAAAAATGCAACTTGCACGCATCATTACCAAATCATATAGTCCATATCGAGTTTAGAATTTTGTAATAAAAACATTACAAATCTCAATACTTAATGTAGTCTATTTTCTTAATACGAAAATAGTACGTTTTATTTGACTACTTCCAAACATCTGAAAAATGTAAAGCATTGTTAATCAATAAATAAATAAAATGCAAAACATATATTCAAGGACTTCTCTATCAAACAATTAAGACAAGCCTTTTAAAATATTAGTAATTAGTTAATAGTACATGAACTACCTGATAACATGTAACCGTCTGAAAGCATCTTAGTTCTTGGCTACGATCCGGAAGACCAATAGTGTGGTGAATAATCTTATGACTGGCGTAATAATCTGAATGCGGCCCTCCGACGACGCAAATCACCGGAAGATTTTCACTGTAAGCTCCGGCGACGGCATTGATAAGGCTAAGCCCGCCGACGGTGAATGTAACCACGCATGCGCCCACTCCCCGGTGCCTAGCATAACCGTCGGCGGCGTAGCCTGCGTTGAGCTCGTTACAGCATCCGATGTTGTTAAGTCCGGGTTCCGCAATCAGGTAATCCAAGAGGCTAAGATTAGAGTCGCCGGGCACAGTGAAAATATCTTTCACTCCGATCTCGACCAGCCGCCGGGCTAAATATTGGCCCAGGGTGGCCTGGTTATAGTTGGCCGGATTGTACTTAGGTGAACCTAATGCAGAGGACAATGAGGCCATATTGTAGTAATGTATTTCTACCAGAATGGAATTTTGAAAGGAAATTAGGAAGAGAGAAATGTTGTGCAACGTATCAAATGTAACAGGAGCATATACGTATTTATAGTATTCCAGTGTTAGAAAAATAATCTCTCTGTCCTAAAATAGAGATCCAAACTGGACACTAATTTTGGAAAATAGGGAGTAACTGTTTTTTTTTTCCTGCCGGTCATAGTTTATTAAGTAACTTTCTAAATTAAAAATTAGTGAAATTACATCATTTCGCTAATATATCTTATAAAATAGTGTAACAAATACATAAAGTTAGGTTAATAATAATTTTTTTTAAGGATCAATAGCGATTCCTCATTTATTCTCAGTGTTATTCGAATCCATGAAACAAGAGAAATGTCTTACCAACTAGACTACACTTCATTTTCAAGTCAAGTAATAATATACTCCCTCCGTCCCATAATTATTGTCCAGTTTGGATTTTCATTTCTAGTTCATTTTGTACTAAAAGTGAAACATCAAACTGGACAATAATTATGGGACAGAGGGAGTATTAATTACTCCTGTCTCAAAAAAAAAATCATATTGAGTTTTAAAATTTATACTAATTTTAGTACAAATTTCAAAACTTGACGTGGACTACTTAAGACCTGTCTGATAATCCAACTTAATGCTTAACATCATTTGACTAAACACTTTTTTTTAATTTAGCATGTTTGATAACAAAAGATGAACCTTTTAATGAATTACGTGGTGCTGAAACTGCAGTACAAAACATAAGTAATAAAAGTTAATTTATTGCTTATTCCATATCTGCTTAATGAATCTAACATTTTTAATTCAGTATTAAGTATTCAGAACTAAACACTAATTTTTATCAAATATGCCCTTATACTATTTGATGTTGGATGAACTTATTGGGTAATATACTGAATGCCGACACTCACATTCAATTTATTCAATATCCTCGCAAGTTCCTTGCCAAACACAGAGACCATTATTAGAAAAAGTATTTAAGCTTGACAACCATCTACGTACGTTAGTTTGCCTAGATTGTCAAGAGATTCACATTTTTTTTGTATAAGAACAAAATGTCATCGTGATGTGGTCACTAGAAAGATGACTATCCATCAAGTTAATGCGTACCAAATTTCACTTTATTTTATTGTTTTTAAAAAGGCCGCCACGTTAAGTATATTTAGGTTACACTAATTATTACTTAAAAGAGTAAAGAAAATAGAAATTTTGAAAAGGATTTAATAGGTTGTCGTCTTATGAAGTACTACTTCCGGTCCTTAATATAAGACATTTTGATTTGTCCTATGTTTCATCTAATACGCATTTTTAATTGATAAAAAAACTTTAAAAATATTTCATAACAATCAAGAGAATACAATGATTGTGAAAATATATTTTTAAGGTTTTTTTGATTAAAAATACATATTAGGTGAAACTTATGATAAAATTACAATGCCATATATTAAAGATCGAAGGGAGTAATTCCTAACCTCTTCGAATATTAGTGATGAGAAAATTGTAATACAAGGCCTCAATGATAAAACGCGGTGGTAATTTGCCCCAAAGGTTATCTTTTTTTTTTTTTTTTCCTTCCAGTAAATCATACAAAATCTACTGAGTAGGTGAGATATCTTTTGATGGTAGTGGTTTTAAAGAAAATCCAATGATAACTAGGAGGCTTGAACGCGCTTTAGCGCGTACTGGATGAACTTACAGTGAATATATATGTTTTAAGTATCAAATTATGGTATGTGATTTTTTTTTATAATTGGTAGTGATATAATCTGATTGATTTGTATTATTAAAAAAATGAAATATTAATTAGTATTCGTTGTATTGGTAATAAATACAAATATTTGACACAATACTAGTGTGATTATACGCGCTTTTGCGCGTGCCTACTACAATAATTTCAATTATCACTCTAATTTAAATTTAAGCATAAACAATTTTAATATTAACTAAAAGTGTTAGTTCCATCATCAATTAGAGAAGGGAGATAAATACTTGCTAATGTACAATTATTCTTTTTTTTTTTTAACAAAGAGAAGAATATAATGCAATAATTCATACACTCGGGTAACAACTTCACATGCACCAAAAAAAAAAATAATAATGTGATAGTCAAAGTCAATATCAACATAACTGAAATGTTTTGAATTACCTTATACACTTCATGCACTTCTCTCAGTCAGTCCCGCTAAATGTATTTATAAACAAAATTTTAAGGTTGAAGGGAGTACAAGACAAGATCGAAAAGTGTAGAGTAATTTTTGGATAGTCGATTAGGTTCAAAAGAAAAGGTAATAAAAAATATCACAGTTTTTTTTTTTTTTAAACTGTGTGAGATGGGAATAGAGATGGGTATATGATCTCAAAGAGCAAACATTTGTACAAATCAACGAATGGTGTCTAACCATTAATAGCAGTCCTAGAATTAGAGTATACGGCAATCAATTATGATTGCAATCATGATGGTACCCAACAATTTATACCGTTTCATTTGTTATCTAACAATTTTGCATCATTAAATTTTGCATCTAGCGAAATATTTGTGAGAATTAACTAAAATTGTTTTAAACACATAGAAAATAAACGGTAGACATACATAGGTCATATGGTGCGTGGACAATAAAAAGTTGGCTGGCAATATTGCCAGAGTAAAAATTACCCTCCAGAGCAACATAATGTCCTCTTGCCAAAAATACCCTTAATAAAGTTCAACTATTCCTCATTATTTTCACTCTCTCCGCCCACCTTTCCCGACGACCACCCCTTACCGCTTCTCAATCATGAATTTGAGGCGGCCAAATTCTCTCTTTTTCTCCAATTGAAAATATTCAAGATTGGCCAAAGAATTCAATCATGGTGCTTTATCTCTACAAAATTATTCAAGGTTGATTCTTTCTATTTGGTCTCAACAAAAACCTACTGTTTTTCTCCAATGAAAACATATACAGTATAATTTTTAGGAGTGATGTTTTTTTTTTTTTTTGCAAGAATCTGGATTCGATTTGCTTAAATAATTGAGATTTTGTAGTACTAAGAAAGAGAGTAGAGGACTAAGCTACTAAATGTAAGCCTAGCCAAAAGGGTTTATGATTGACTGAATTTGGTGACATAGAAGTAGATGAGTCCTAATCAATATATGGCTAACGACCTACCGTGACTCTCTCTTACCATCCGTTGGCCCTGTGGTTTGTAAGGATCGATTCTTGTTCTTCATATGACTGATTGTGCAGAGAAGTTTCCCAGAATTCAAACAATCTGATTATGAGATTGTATAAAAAACAATCGTAATTGTAGTATTCTCCCCCCCTCCCCACACCCCAGTTTTCTTTTGGGTTTTGATGATATAATCCATTGTGATGTAGTCACGGATTATTGATGATGCGACGTTTACAAGAAGAAACTCTCCTAGAGACTCACCAACTAAGAACCGAGACAAGGAAGAGGAGAGTTGGGCAATGAAGGGGTAATTTGGAGAAAATATACATAATTTGCTCTGGTGGCTAATTTCTGCCCCGGCAGTATCATCACTCTAAAAAGTCAAGAGTAATAATAGTATTGAAGCTTTTTTGAAAATAAATAGTGTTGAAGTTACAACTTGGAAACAATGAAACTGATGCTAACTTTTTTACTTTTCATTCGAATATACTATACTAAACAATAGAATAATTTGTTAATTACTTTCCATCTTTTTCGTGAAACATTTCAAATTATATGGCTTATTAAATCACCAAAACATATACCTTTGAAATGAAACCTTCATCCTCTTTGATTGACTACATTAATTTTTAATAATAACTACATGATATTAATTATATTAATTAAAATAATCAAATGATCTCTTCATTTTCTCTCTCAAAGAGGTAATGCAAAAGAGTACTACCAAAACTTTACTATTAACTAAATAATAATTATATATAATTAATTAGTATTAATTAAAATAATTAAATGTTAGTTTTCTTTTTAATCACTTACTCTAAATGTACACTACCAAACCTTTGTCCAAACTTACTTTTCATATATATAGTTAGATAAATGAATGCATAGAGTTTTGATTGAGAGAATACTAAAGATTTTAAACGTTTTGCTTAGTTTGTTGATTGTGAAGTTGATATGACAAGGAACGTAATTTTGAATATATGTATGACCGTCTCTAAGTGTTGTTATAGTTTTGGTGTTTCTTGTTAGTGCACCTCTTACAATACCACCTTAATTTCACTTGAGCCTGTCTCTGGCAGTCTATACCTAGTGAATACTTTATGTTTGTTCTCCCTGCATGAAGCTACTTGTACTGCAGCAATGTCATCACAAACTGTGGAGATTTAGTATGGGTAGTAGCCATCAAAACTTTATTCTAAATTGAAAGGTACATGCTTCGATCCATTGACGGATTATTTTGCCCAGTGCCTATTATTAACGTAGACAGAAAAATGCTTCCACTTCATGTAATTATAAAATTTCAAACCTCAATAATCAATTTTGACACCATATAAACTTTGACTGAGCTAAAAATAATAAAATGCAAAGATTAGAAAAATGAAAATCATCTTAATAATTCTCTTCAGGCACAGAACAAATTTCATCTATAGAGAAGGTTCCTTAATTTAAAGAGAGTAGTTTGAATTTACATTAAAAAAACAGTTTACTATCCTTTATAAGATTGAATCGCATTTCGAATAAATTTCAGTATGTGCAATAGGACAAAGAGCATCTGCAAGTTCAACGGAAGTTTCATGGAAAATTGAGAGAAATTAATTATATATTTGCCGGAGAGAATAGATGTTTTGAAAACTAATTTAACAGATTTTTGTGCTTTAAATAGATTAGAAGCACCAAATTCATGTGCGATCAGAATTGTCAAAACACATACATACACTTACTCAAGCAAAGTTTATGACGAAGAAATCATACGTTCTGGACTGTTATCGATGGTGGTTGGCCGCAAATTTTCAGCGATAGCAATAATGGAGGTCAGTGAACTCAATGGAATTATTGAAAACTGAAAACAATAGGTGGATTCAGTGTACAGTGGACATCGTGGCTGGAAAGAAATGAAAGAGTATCCCCGAAATAATTTAAGCAAAAGATCTCTAGTTTGAAGTGCTTTAGTACGCTAAGAGAGGAAGACAATGGGATGTAACCGAGGTAGGTTTAAGTGGAAGTGTCACAATTGTGTTAAAGCATTAAGTTTTGAAGTAATGGTAGGTATTAATTAAATAGTAATAGTTAGCACAAAAAACTACAAAAGGAATAACAAAAGTCATCTCCCGTGGGAATCACATATTAAGGTGAAATTCAAAACATTTAGCACATGTAAAGGACTACCAAACCACCAAATTATTCCCCAATTATATATATGTTTGATAATATATTTATTTTCTCAATTTGTTGTTTAGCTAGGAATCTATCTATCTATCTATAGTATTATACTAAGAGAGAAATCAGAGAGAGAAAATAAAAATGAATTTCTAGAGTGCCACATAGGAAAAAATCTTAAGTGGCATTTTCTCAAAATTTAGGCAAAAAAGTTTCAACATTTAGCTAATAGTCCCAAGAAAATATTACAGTTAATGAATAAGATTTGGCCGAGAAAAACTTATCACAATTGTTGGAATATAATTGTGGCTAATTTTACTTCATCATATTATAGTTGGCAAGTATTCAAACAATTTTTATTATTGCAATTACTGTTGATTGCTAAGAATCGGAAAAACTAATCATAATTGATATTATCATATTTAATTAATGCTTTTTTTTCTTTCAAAAATTACAACTATGGCAGTTCTGGTCAATAGTTTCTGAAAAATCCTATGGGGCATTTTTTGATGTATTCTCCCGAATTCATCTTTAAAAGTTATTCAAACAATCCCTCTATTTTTGGGGGAAAAAATTATGTCCCAAAATTATTGTTCAGTTTGAAATTTCACTTTTAGTACAATTTGAACTACAAATAAAAGTCCAAACTGAATAATAATTATGGGACGGAAGGAATACTATAAATCTTGCCATCTGTGCGAATACAATCATTTGTAGCACAACAGACTTAATCCCTGCATTCTCTATCCGAAATTCAAATTTGAAAGCCATCATGGTGATCGCTGCTTTTTTGTTTGCAGATTTGGGACAACAATTCTTCTTCCACTGGCACCAAGGACATTAAGGGTTTAGAATTTAGGCTTGTGATTGAAGATGCATAGGCTTGCAATCTTCTTTAATTTTTAATTTTTTTGGTATCTTTGTGATTACTATCATTACATTTTGGTCAGTGTAAATATAAAATACTTCTATTTTGTATTACATATACTCTATCCGTTTTAAAAAAATAATTAATATTTTATTTTATGATATGTACTAAATAATACAAATCACAAATACATAATTATGTATTTGTGATTTGTATTATTTAGTACATAATATGTAGATTTAATTGTGAGACAAAAGAAAGTAATACCTTTATTTATTATGTCAGTGTTCTTATTTACTTTTAGTGGTACGTTATTATATTTTCATGTTCAATCTTTATAATACTGTCATTCTGAATCACAATTAAATATTTTCACTTATTATAATATCTAATTTATTTTTCCCCATATAATATTGTTATTACAAACCAATAATACCATTTGTATTTAACATATTCAAAACCCAAATGGTTTTTTGTAAATGAATTTGACTAAAACCAGATACGCGGGGTTTAACATCTAGTATCGAATACTAGTAGCAACCAAGGTGTGCATGTGAGAACTACATTCAGACTCTCGTACATGATACATTTTATCCTTTATTTAGATTTTTCGAATTATCAATTATACGTGAACAATTTTGGTAAAATGTGTTTGCATGTGGTTAGGTTGATTGATAATTAAGAAAAAAATATCGAACGGTTAGGTTGATTCATTATAACTTATGGCATGCGGATGCCTGTCACATATCTTAGCCACCAAATCGAGAGTAAGATTAGAAGTAAAAATAAAAGTAAAAGAGTAAAACACAACCCCCGGGCCCAAGAGTGGATATTGGGAAGCATTGTTTTTTCAATCTAGTGGCCCTTCCAGTCTACAAATTTTACATGTAACCAGTGAAATTTCCAAGAACTTTGGTTCACTCAGTCATACAACATCACAACTGATCACGCCCACACAACAACACTTTTCAGAATCAGGAAAGCTGCTACAAAATTAAAAGTAGGTTATGGCTGAAAATTAAACCGGAAAGACGCACCTCCATTAAGAAATCTAAGATGAGAATAAGAGGGTCAAGATAATGCACCCATAACCACTGCTGTGACTTACTACTCAAATTAAACTAGTAAGAAGCCCCTCCACCGAGAAAACTATGATGAGAATAAGCCACAAGGATCAAGATCATGCACCGATAACCACTGTTAGGATAACTACAGCCTAAAAAGCTTATATCTTGTTGGTAGCCTCACTAAAAGCACTAGAGTTGAATTGGTAATCCTTGACCCGTATGCACAAAGCAAAGTGAAATATATTTGACTAAAGAGCGAGAAAAAGGAAGTTTACAGGGTTAAAACAAGGAAGTTTACAAAAGGGGAGTCAGTTGAAAAAGAAAGATTTGATGCATATTTCGTTCTCACAGTGTCTTGGTAGTCTCACCTCAATCACCTCACATTCCCGGATATATCCTCCAACTACCTAACATCATTCATAGACCTAGTTCACCAAACAATAAGAATTATTACAGGAAAAGAAACATCAGAGCTGCAATTAATGTCTCCAAACTATTTCAACATGTATGAAGAAAAATTAAATCTGATCCCATTGCTGAACTCTTGAGTCTTGACGTTGACTGATTACCATTATATATATATGAACAATGAGCATCAACACTTACATATATACATGGATTGATCTGGGCTAAGACTATTGACATTAACTATTATCATGTCAAAAGGGAAGACGCAAGAGAAAAACTTACCCCTGCAGCCATTCATATTGCTCCAATTAGCCAAGGAAATGAGCCACTTTATATGATAAGAAAGTCAATCAGACCTAAAAGTACTTTTCCTCCTCTTGATAAGTCCATTCATTAAAGTTATATGAGTAGATTTATCGATATAAATACCCTTGTCAATCATCTCTCTGTACATAAACATGGCATCCCTGAATCTTCCTCGATTGCAAAGGTCAGTTATTTCTTCATTGTATGCAACAGAACTGGGATCAGAGTTATCTGCCGATTTACCAGAGGCACCTTCCTTCTTGTTTATGTTTGTACGTTGTTCCAATGATCCTGTCTCGGCTATTTTTGACATGAATTCTTCAGCCTCTTTTATTCTCTCGGCATCAGCATATGCACCCAGAACAGCACTGTAGGTAAAAGTATCAGGGCCCAGGTTCTTGTCATGCATTTCAACAACAAGGTCCAACGCGTCATCAAGCCTCCCCACTTTACATAACGCTCCTATCAATGTATTGTAGGTGACGGCATCCATTGCCTTCCCCTTGGATTTCCACGTGTCAAAAAGTCGAATGGCTTTTTCAATCATCCTTTCCTTGCAGAGCCCACTAAGAAGAATATTGCAGGTATAGACGCCGGGTTTAAAAGAATTCTCCACCATTTTGGTATGAAAGAGAAATGCTTTGTCAATACTTCCCTCCAAACAAAATCCCTGGATGATTGTGTTATATGTAATTTCATCAGGAACCAACCCATTCTCCAAAAGCTCATTCAGTTTTTCTATCGCTAACTCAGTTTCGCCTGTCTTGCAAAGCCCTGCAATCATCGAATTATACGTGACGATGCTGGGAAAGATAGCTTTGTTTTTCATTTCATCCCAAAGCTCCTTAGCTCTGCCTACATTATTTTCCTTGAAGTATCCAACAATGAGAATACCATAACTTACTTCATTTAAGATATAACCTCGCTTCATCGCACTTTTAAGTAAGTCATAAGCTTCATTAAGCCGCTTTTCCTGACACAGAGTTTGAAGAGCAGTATTTAGAGTAAATGCATCCATCTTCAGACCTTTACTGGCCAATATATTTATCATGACAACGGCCTCGGCCAAGTTCCCAGCTTTACAGTAGCCAGTTATTAAGGTATTGTAGGTTACACAATTCGGAGAGAATCCATCTTCTTCCATCCTCCGGATAGCATCACTAGCTTCATTCATCTTTCCTGCATTACAATACCAATTAATCACAATGTTATGAGTAACCTCACTTGGCTTTAGTCCTTCAGCCTTCATCACTTCGAGCAAATCAAAGGCCTCGGAACTTCTTTTATTTGCGAAACACCCACTAATCAGAGTATTATATGTAACCACGTCAGGAAACAGTTTCAATTCCTCCATGTCCTTTTTTAGCTTAAAAGCATGATCAATCCTTCCCTCATCACACAACCCCTTTATCAACATATTATATGTCCAAAGGTCAGGTAACAAATTATTCTGTGTCATCAATTCAATTATAGTGGCTGCATCCTTCAGCCAGCCCATTTTACAGTACCCATTGACCAAAATATTAAACGTGTTCCTGTTTGGAACCAAACCTTTGCTCTTCATATCCAACAATAAATCACGAGCCTCAATCAACCTACCCTTCTTGCACAAAGCATGCAATATCGTGTTATAGCCAACATTATCCGGTTTACAACCATAATCACTCATTTTATTCAACAAATCAATCGCATCTTTGAATCTATACTCCAAACAATACCCACTGATTAAAATGTTAAAAGTATTTGAGTTGGGCTTCACGCCAAGCTTAAGAGCATCATGGAACAACTCTTTACAGTAACGCACAGTATGAGTAGAAGGGTACTTTACCAACGAAATCAGGAGAGTGTTGCAAGTGAGCAGATTCGGACAGAGGCGGAGACGCTTCATTTTCTTAAAAACCTGGGCAGCTAGATGGGTCCGACCGCAACGGCAATAGGCGGCAATGGAGGTATCCAGGAGAGCTTTGCTAGGAAGAGGAAGCGATTCGGAAGGATTAAGAAGATGACGGTGGAGCTGATGGGTCGGATGGTCGGAAGGAATGAATTCAAGGAGCAGGGCTTTAGCGTCGGCGAATTTGTTGCGGCTGAAATAGGAACCAAGGAGGGAAAGAAGGGATGGGAGGGGAAGAGTTAGAGAAGGGATTTGAGAATGAGCCCATCTGAAAAAAGCTTGGACTGAATTAGGGTGGGAGGTCAGTAGGACAGGGGAAGTGAGGATGGAGTGAAGAACAGGTTGGGTTAGGTGTGGGAGGTAAGGACTGAGGACGGCGGCGTTGAATGGCTTCTTTGAGGCGGAAAGAATGGTGGTGATGGTGGTGATCAGCTGTGAAGGGTTTAAGGAGGACGGTGGCGGATGAGGGTTCATCATCTCTGCCAAAGTTTGGTTCTTTGCAGTTATCAGTTCATGGGGTTTATGAGACCGGAAAAGGGCAAGGATTTTGACTTTAATTTTAATCTTCTTTTTTTTCTTTTACATTGATTAACGTTGTTGTTTTATATACTAGTTCTTTTTTAACCTCGGAAAATTCATTAATTTTCCATCAAAATGCGAAAAAAGAAAAATTAAATGAAATTTTTTATAAAAAAAAAAGTAAAAAAGGAAAAATGATAAGCACTGGATACCGGAGCTCCATCAACCCAATCCTCAATTTTGCTTCAATTGGGCAAAGTTTTAGAACCACCCACCGATTTCATAGTACTGTTGTTCGGTGTTGCAAACTTGGAATCCAATCGGACAGAAGAATAAAAATGGAATCTTTGGGAAAAAATGGGGTCGATAGTACTTTAAAGGCGCCACCGTCTGTGGTGAAGCTGGAACCCATTGAAGCCACCCCAGATAGCTTCCAAGAGTTCGGACAAGTTATTGAAGCCAGCCCCGACGGCGGTGAGTTTGGGCCTTCCGATGCTCAGCTCGACCTTAGCCGTGGCACCCCAAGGTTCCATTTTTTTTGGGTCATGTCTTCCTTATTTATCTCCATCCTGACCGGCCATTATTTGTTTGTTTGATTATGCTTTCTTGTTACTAGGTTTTACATTATGCGTCTTGAAGATAGGGATCTCAAGTTTTCGAACATAACCCATCATGCTAATGTGACCCAGTGTTTGGGGTCTATTGGTGGCCATGTTTGGTACCTTGGAGTTGCTAAGCCATCCATTGTAGAAGCCAGTGACATCAAAGGCACAGTGGGGGGTGACATTGTGCAATCGCGTTGCGGCCATTTTTATGTGCCTCCCTCTGTTGATGATGTGCGTGCTTTCAGAATTTCGGGTTCCAAGCTTCTGAAGTTGAACAGAGGTACATGGCATGCTGGTCCGTTGTTCAAAGACAGGGCTATGGACTTCTACAATCTTGAGCTGAGCAACACCAATGTGAGTGGGTTAACTCATATCCTTTATTGAGTTCGTGCAGTTCTTTTTGGCAATCTTATTAAGTCAGGTGATCTTTGTTCTGTTTACTGCATTGTCCCATCATAGAATGGTACAGAGTGTCATTCTACTTCTACATGAATTACGTATTTGAAAGGTACGAATTAGATTCAATCCATGTGGCTAATTAAGTGTGGCCTTTACATCTTGCCGGATGTATTTTCTTGTGGAAGTTGATTGTGTTTGTTTTGAGAACTGAGGTGAATTCGATTGTGGAATCCTGCTTGAATGATAACGTTTTTCTTGATCATACACCTGGTTAAATTTAAAGGTCTATAAAGACTTATACCTGATTTACAACAAAGACCTTAACGGCATGTCTTGAATGGTTTTATTGACCTAAAGTTAGGGTACTTGTTGCCTTGTGGCAAAGGAATTAGAGACTTGCGTGGCTCTCTGACGGCACCTTCACTGGTTCTATTTCTTGGTTCCGTTCCTTGATTTTGAATCTCATTGGTTGGCATTTTGAATTGGATAATGTTTGTTGGAGTATGTTTTTTGGTGCTGAATGCAATTAATATGAGTAGAAATCCATTCTGTTAGACAAGTAAGCTGCGACTTGCGTCTATGTTTTGTTGTTAGGCTTTAGATGATAGAGCTTCGGAATAAACTGACTAGCATTAGCAACCTAAGGTTTATGATTTCTCTTATACTAGTCGCGACATCCTTAACTATAAGGTATGCCTATGCTGTGCTTGTCTGTTGAAGTTACTGAGTTTGCATAAGATCTGTGGCTAAAAGGTCGAGGCTACTGTCATTTGTTTGTGCTCTATGTTCCTTAATCTTGTTCAATACACATGGTTCAGGTTCCTATTTGTGTGTGTGTGTGTGTGTGTGTGTGTCTGTCTGTCTGTCTGTTTGCGTGTGTGTGTGCGTGCGTGCACGCGCTTCTGGAACCATGGTCCGGTTATCCTGTCAGCATATCTGTCTTCTTGTATCAGTCATTATAGTCTCTAGAGGTCGATATGGTGTGTGATCTGGGATCTGCATTGATGTTTAAGTTCATTTGCTGCTGTATTTGGTGCAGTTAATTGTCGTGAACACCTTCAAGGTGACTCCTTTTTTTTCATCTTTTTGCAGGTGGTGGATCACACTACTCATGACTTCATCAAGAACAACAATGCGATCTTTGTCCTGGATGAGTAGCAACTTCTTCCCATTAGGTATCATCAACGTGTAGCAGAAAGATAATGTTATGAATATCTCTGCAAACATCTTCCAACTAGGTGTATCGTCCAACTGTGACAGAACAAAATGCTGTGAATAGTTTGCCCAACTTTCATTTCTTAGGTTGTGCTGTGTAAAGAAAGTTTCTCCCTACGTATTGTTCTCACTTCTCAGTTCCCATTTCTCTCCCACTCTTCCCTTTTGATGTGGCTAACTATTTCTAGAAAGTTCTATAGCTCAAAGCTTCAAATCATAGGTTGATAATAGCTACACTGACAAGGCAATGAAATTTGCCGACTGAAAAGCATTGCACTTTCACTAAAAAGAAAGTAAAGATGTCGAAATGTAACAACTTCCAATAAAAAAATTTCAGTACGTTAATTTTGGTTTAGTCTTATAAGATCGATCACAAAGTCGACTCTCACCAATGTAGTATGAATGCAGGATTTTATGAATGTTGTTTAACATGACCATTTTATCTGGTGGTTCCCAGAGACTCAAGAACCAGAGGCAAAAGGAATCCTCCACGCTGGTTGACCTTTGGATTTGAGGGATCATGAATCTATTATCTAGAGGCAAAAAGACAGAATTTTTATGAATTTCTTGGTACCCAGAAAGTTTTACACGGCAAACAGCAACTTTTTATTGAATTTCAGATTACTGAGAATGGATTCATTGGAAGCAAGCCATGGGAGCATGAACAACTCCAGTTTACAGAAACCTTCTTAAAGCGATGAGATTATGTGTTGGAAAGGAAGATCAATTGACTCATTTTTCTGAATTTATCAAACGGCAGTTCAGGAATAGCATTCTTCTTTTCAATCCGTGGATTCTCCTGATTAATGTGTGGAAGTTGCTTTGTCTATTGTCTGCTTTTACATTTTCGGAAGGATTTTAATGATGTAATATTCCCTTTCTGGGAAAATCTTCAAGACTGTATTTTCCCTCCTAATTTCAAAAGTTTTACGCCAATTCAAGATATCAGATTAATAAAATTTCCATAACGGGTGCTGTCTATTTAATGTCTCTGAAATTATCTGCCATAACAATCTCCAAATATAACCCCTAATTTAATACCGCACTATTTTCCAGCAATGAGGAGATTCAGCAAAATTCAAACTTTGGTCTTCTCTTATTTGTAACGCTCACTTCAGAATTTGTAATGGTTGGAAAGAGCATAAATCCGAGAAATTTTCTGTGTTGAGGTAGTACTTTGCTTCTCGATGCTGTGAAAGACTATTACCAGAAGATTGGTGAATGCTGGAGAAACTGGAACTTGCAAATGGAAGGTGTTTGTGATAATCAGGAGATTCCTGGTGTTAGTTTAGGCTTTGGAGAGGATCAATACCTCGGGCTGATTGACATCTCTCACGAGGACGACGATCTTCTCGCCGAATCACCTTGTTTTAGGTCCTCTGCTGACTCCCACATCTCAGGTTGCTTGTCTCTAACTCATTGAGATCTTTCCTTTCTATTTTTCTTTTTTTTTTTTTTTTGTGGTTTTTCATTGTTATCTGCCCAGTGTCTTGAGTATGCTTGTCTTTCTGCAGTCGGGTTTTTGCTTTTTGGTGCGCCAATTTTCGTGTGTATTAAATTGAATTTTGTGCTTGATTGGAAATGAACTTTGGGGATCGAAATGATTGAATCTAAACTGTCAAGAAGAGTCTAGTCTGTCGCGGGGTGGTTCTCTAAAGGAAACAGAAACTTCTAAATCTTCAGACTAGACCCTCATTCCTGAAAGTCAAACTGCGAATGCAACCCTGTGTCTTTCCCCTTCTGTTTTTTAACTAACAGATTCAGAGTTATCCAATTCTTTAATATAGCCTAAATTGAGGCCTCTTCTGTTGCAGTGACATTTGATACTAATAAAGATGAGAATGGCGGCTACAATTCATTGCAGCCTCATTTCTCTCAACTAGTCAAACACAAAGCACCTAACCTCCTGCAGGATGAACACGAGAGACAACTTGGTTTTGTGCCAGAAACCCTAAGTTATGGACGCCCAAGTCTAGCTTGGGACAGTGCATTCTTTACAGATGACGGTATTTATCCTCTGTCCATGAATAAAATGTGTTTATGTTGTTTGGGGTTTGCATTTGGGGCTTTTGCTACAAGTTTGATGTTCATAATTTGTCTTCTCTTTCAATTTTTGATTCCTAGGTGTCCTGGATGAAGATGAGTTGACTTTGATGAACGAGGGACTAAATGCTGCTGAGATGCGACCTATCGCGCATAAAGATGTAAACAAACAGAGAGTCAGATCCGGATACAGCAAAACAGTTGATGCTTTTTCCTCAGGTATACCTAAGTTGGATGAATCTTTGTTGGTTTATGGGAGGGCCATTGTGTGAAAGATATCAAATTATGCCATGAAAATTATCTGGCTTGTTATATCCAGTGTCCAACAGTGGACTCAGTTTTGTCTTTGATGAATTGCTTCTTTGGCCAGCCTGGAAATTATGCTTAACTATCTGCTGCTTCTTTCAGCTTCAAGGAAGATTAATGCCTGCATTCTGAATAGGGTATGCTTGAATTCATTTGTGTTGTTCTGCAAATTGATCTCATTGTCAGGTTGAATGACTAATCACTTTTGATCTCTAGACTAACAAATCAGCTTCTGAGGGAGGAAGAATGAGTATTCAAAGATCACTAGAAAATAAGCCACAGGTTTTTATCCGAACATGACTTATCATTTAGATGGCTATTGAAAAGAAAGGACTTGCTTAATGGACCATTTTAGCATGACATTAATTACAGATTGTGTATTCTAGCAGAGTATGGCTTCAAAGCTATCGAGTCCGTTGGTAAATCTATTGTCTGGAAAGAGTAGAAGTGCATCAGTAGATGCTTACCGTGCCAAGAAGGAGAGTAGAGCTGAAACTTTGTTATCTGGTAAAAGAAGTTTATACAACACAATTAACTGAAAAGGAAGCAGTCTTCCATTTGCATCTTGGTGTATTTTGCTCTTTTAACATTTCACAAACTTCATGCAGTTGATAAATTCAAGCTCAGGAAGAAGTCTGCTTTCGAGAATTCTTGCAGGCTTTCCTCTCCTACTGTTGCATTTGGTTCTTCGGTCTTTCCTCGCTGCACCAATATTTCAACTCGTTCTAGTTATTCACAGGGTACAAAAGAAAAGCTAACCATTTTCCCTTATTCCCTCTATAAAGAACAACAGTTTACAGGAAGCTCTGATTTCTTCAATCTCGATTTCCATTTCAGATGCTGCTATGATAAAAAGTGAGAAGGGGCCAAATTCATCTGCGGAGTCGAACTCTGGACCGAATTCATCTCTAGATTTGCCGTTGATCGACATTGTCCAGACAGGGTATGCTAGTTCTCCAGTTGAACTGGTGAACTATCAATCTACACCAGATGCATATCGAGTCCTTGGCGACTCCAGAGGAAAAATTAGGTCATCACATCTGCGCATGCCATCACCTAAGATGGGTTTCTTTGACGAGGTTGGTGTAGACGTGTAGTTAATTCTTTTCAGCGAATTCCTTGAAACATCTCCATCTTCTGTGCAACTTTACTTAGGCTTTACTAATTTGATTCCATCAATGCAGGGAAAATCACTGATACCAACAATGCAAGGGAGTATACAGTTTAAGTTTGAAACACAAGGTACACCACCTATCATAAATTACCCACCAGACCGGAGAACAAATAAACACCTCCGCTCAGGGATGTCATCAGAGACTAAGCCTTTGAAGCAAGGTTCGAAGAGTATGCAACCACAGCATCCTGTTCAGGAGATCGGACGGATTAGGTCAGAGGGAAAGCTCAGGAGACAGTCTTCTAGATTATGGAATAGTGGAAAAACAAGGCCAGATGTAGATTTGAAACTGCAATCTGGCACATGTGGAGAAGGAGGAGGAGAATGGATATGCTCAAAATGCCAGAAAATAGGCTCTGATGTGCAGGATCGAAAGAGAGTAGGTAAAGTATCTGTTTCGAGGCAAGATGATGAAAAGAGAGTTAAAGCAAGGCTCAAGAATGGAGGTGGCAGACAGATTGGGGTGCAAAGAGATGTTCCTAAGATCAAAGGAGAACGTAGGGGACCTGCTGAAAATGAACAACAGAAACCGAACAATCTGCCATCAGGAAGCGAGGACGAAACAAGAAATTTCGAGAACCAAGTTAATGACTTGAGCAAGTATTTTGAGGTCATTGATTTGAGCAAGGTCATGCGGATAGAAAACGAGTTTGACAGCAAAATCTTCAATTTCAAAGGTGAGAATGACACTGATAATCGGAACCAGGAAAACCCGAAGCTCTTCAGGAATGAGAGTCCATTTCTGGCAGGAGATGAATCCTCCCCAAGTTCTACAAGAACACCTCTGGCTGACAAAACATCCATCTCCAATCGAAGTGGATCAATCCCAAGCACAGAGAAGGTAGCTTCGAAGTCATGGGTTCACGCATGTTCAGGAAAAGAGAACAGCTTTCCCCGTCAAACTTAAGCTGCATTGGAGATCAAGTATACGGTCATCATTTATGCTAGTTAACAATGGTGCTGGGATAGTTTTGCCACCGCCATTGTGTGTCCAAGAAGACTCAAAAGTTGCGGTGAACTCTGAACATTCTAACTCTTAGGCATTCTTTTGCAGAAATTTGTTTGTTGACATTTGATTCGGAGATAATATAGATCATATGTGAGAGACAAACAATTACTGCTTCTTGAGTTTGTATGGTTTTAATGATTCAACAAAAGTTGCCAAAGTCAACTATTTCCTATTTTTGGTTCCCCCCATTAGCGCCTAAAGCCTTAAAGGGTATGAATTTTGGGAAGGAACTTAGGATGTTTTCTATCCCACATGATCTTGATGCTGCCAAAGAATAACCAGCACCGAGAAAGCCATCATCAGATCCTTAGGGATAAGAGGTCCTAAAATCGCACAAAAGCAGGGGTCATTGATGAGTTAAGGATTTTGTCGCTTTTCCATTTGGACAAAATCCTTGTCAAAATGATAATGATAAAACGGCTTTGCCCTGCTCCCCTGCCTTTGCTAAAAGAGCTGAGGGACTGGAATTTCACTTCTTATAAAATGGCATCTTAAAGGCCTTATGTTTTTTCTCCATAATCCTTGATCATCAGAAATCTAAAGTCCGAATTGTGTGAAAAAGTGACTCCTCAGACCCTGGAATCATTCAATTTTAGATTCAATGTTAGGGTGTGTTAATGTCACAGGGTGGATTAGTGTTTGCCCCTATGTTACCTGGACTCGGATACGAGTATCGTATTGGGTGCGAAAATTTGAATGTCCGACTCGTCAATATTTTAGAAATCTTAAACATTTTAGGCTAAAATGCCACACCCGACACTGCATACCCACACCAGTGTCGTGAATATTCTCACGACAAATAGATACGAGTATCGTATTGGGTGCGAAAATTTGAGTGTCCGACTCGTCAATATTTTAGAAATCTTAAATATTTTAGGCTAAAATGCCACACCCGACACTGCATACCCACACCAGTGTCGTGACACGACAAATAGAAGAGTCCGGGTAACATACTTTGACCTGTTGGGGCGTTTCCTCAGCAGTGTTGATGTGTTGCTTTAAACATTATAATACGCAAACCGAGTTCTTGTGCACGTAAAATTCCATCGAAATTGAATCTTCAATAGAAAGACAAAACCTAGGAACCTAGGATGTGATGTTTGCCTCTAAGCGACTCACAGTGGCAAGCAGGTATAAAAACACCACAGAATTAGATCAAGGAAAATTGACACTGAAATTTAGAAGAACACCCTTTTTTTTTTTTGGGTAACATTAGAACACTACTTTTAATTCTCAACAAAAGTAGTAACATCAAACAGTGTTTGCATGAATGTTCACATTCAGTCCTCTGATGGCGAAAAAGCAAGAATCAGATCAGCTAATCAGAAATGAAAATACATAGGAAAATAATAATAGATTCAATCATTCAAGAGAACGGAGCACTTCTTATTCCAAAAAAGAAACCATCATGATACAAAAGATTGTACAAACTAAGCCCAAAAAAACCCACACTAATTACTATCCAACCAAAACGTAAATTGCGTATATGATTCCCGGAATGTACCCCAACAAAGTCAGCAACAAACAAATCCAGAACTCCACCTGCATCCAACAAACACCAAACAAGAAAACAAACCGCAAAAAATATACATTATTCAGGAATCACTTGCAGATATGAATCTAAACAGATTGAAGAAGAAGAAGGAAGAAGAGATTACTCCGCAGCCATAACGAAGGAAGACACCGACTGGTGGCAACAGTATCGCCAATACCACTTCAATGAACGTCTCTGAACCCATTTCTGATTTAATCTCCCCAAATCAAACCAAACCCAAAACTCAATTTCTCTTTTTGTGATCCTAAAAAGTAAAAACTAAGACAAATCTGGATTCAGGGATTTGGGTTTTCATGCATGTGTGTAGTAGTTATCTGTTTACTATATTACTAAGGATTACTTAATTAAGGTTGTACAGGAGGTGAATTTTGGCCGTATGGGGGTGTTGGAAATTGGAAAGCATAAGAAAAGGAAAAAAGAAAAAAAACAACACAAGGAAATAAACGTGCCAGGTACGGGAATCTCAATTGTTGAGCGATATCCACGTGGAAGTGTTTGACGTACGCGTGGCATGATTTCGGACACTTGCAGTTGTCTGAATTTCCCGTTTGACTAGCACTACTTCTCTACACACCTCATTTTCTCCATTCAAACAGAGGAATTTACTATGTTTGAGAGGGCCAAACGTGAGATCTTTTCTTGCTTTTACTATTTTCTTTAAAAGTATATATCAGTGAGAATTCTGAGTTTTCGTGTTATCCTCCCTCGTCTCAAAAAAAAAAAAAAGTCTATATTAAATTTTCAAATTTATATTAAAAATAATGCAAAATTCAAAACTCAATGTAAATTATTTTTTTAGAATGAATGTAGTAATTTATAAACAGGTTGCGTTGTATAAACATTTTTAGTTGTGATTACATGTGCTGTAAGCACGACGAAAATATACATTGGACATTGAATCAAACATGTATGTGTTTGATAAATTAAATTAAATTACATAACTCTGTCACAAGTTCAATTCTCAACATGTTACTTTCCTTCACCTAAGAAATGAAAATTCCATTTCTTTCATCAAAGAAAAGAACTTTGGAGGTTTTTGTATATGAGCAATGATACAAATAGTAATAAATTATAGTAAATTTAGGTAGTGACAAATGGAAAATTAAATACGTCATACACTTATTAACTATGTCTAGATATTAATTAAGGTTAAAAATATAATTTTTTTAAAAAATAAAACTTCAACGAGAAAGTGACAAAAAAATTAGAAGCCATGATTAATCCACGTCAGTTATTATGTTTTGTCACTATTTTTATTCACTGTGTATATTATTTTCCTTTGTATATATACACACGTGCAACAAAGAACTAAACGGTACCTTATGTATCATGATTACATAAACTGCTGCTAATTAAGTCGTTTTTAGTTTCTGTTACTGTCAAAGAATAAAGAAATGGAGCTGAAGCAGCAATTAAAATGAAGTAGCTAGCTATCTGCCTTGGATATCTGTTAAACTAACATCATTTGATGAACTTGATCTATTATTTTCAGGAGAAATTTCTGAAACTGAGATTCTAGCAGTAAATGTAGGAAATTTGGGAGGAGGAAGGTCCATAATTTCTCTGTTGAGCATGGAAACTACATTAGACATGTTTGGTCTGTCTTCTGCACATTCTTGAACACACAACAATCCAACATGCACATATCTCAGGATTTCCAGCTCAGTACTCGGATCAAATCCGTCCCTAAATGCCAATTTCACTGCTTCATTCTTGTTCCAAAGTTCCCAGGCCTGCAAAAAAATTGTGGAGACAAAATGTAACCAAAGTTTTCTTGTTTTTTAGATGAGAATTTTTCAGATATTTTTAAAAGAAGCTTACATATCCAAGTAGGCTAAGGCTCTCGTCCACATGACAAAAGCTACTGATCCTCCTTCCACTTACAATCTCCAGTAGTAAAACTCCAAAGCTGTAGACATCTGATTTCTCCGAAAAGTTTCCCCTCATTGCGTATTCTGGAGACATGTATCCGCTGCATTCCAACATTTAGGTTTAGACAGTGTGAATATAGTCGTGTTTGACTTAAAATGATAGTTAGCTAGGAAGAGGAGTTACTATGTGCCCACAACCCTTTTGGTCTTGGCCTGCTCCTGATCTCCACCAGATATTCGTGCTAATCCAAAATCCGATATCTTGGGAATTAGCTCTTCATCTAGGAGGATGTTACTCGCTTTCAGGTCTCTATGGATGATTCTCAGTCTTGAGTCTCTGTGAAGGTAAAGGAGGCCTCTTCCAATTCCTTCAATGATGGTGCACCTACTATTCCAATCAAGTAACTCTTGTTTTCCTGAATCTGTAAAGTGGTGAAATGTGAGGTGCTGAGCAGCTGCTGAGATGTTTTGTAACTTGAAAGTTTAGTATATAGATTCCAAGAAGGAAGGAAAATTTTGTGAAACCAAAATTTATGGCACTACAACTACTCTTATGGTAAGAGAACTGTCATTGTACTAACCAAATAAATATGCAGCCAGGCTTGTGTTTGGCATGTACTCATAGACTAGCATTTGTTCTTCTCTTTCAATACAGCAACCAAGGAGTCTGACGAGATTCCGGTGTTGCAGCTTTGAAATGACAGTAACTTCATTCATAAACTCCTGTATCCCCTGAGTGGATGAATTTGAAAGCCTTTTCACTGCTATTTCCTGGCCATTTGAAAGCTTTCCCTGCAGAAATGTTAGGCCTGTGTAAATTTATTTTTTCCCAGTTTTGCGGACCCAAGCAGTTCTCAAGTAATGTGTTACCTTGTATACTGGACCAAAACCTCCTTGTCCTAGCTTATTCTTGGTGTGAAAATCCTCGGTTGCATTAGCTAGGGTCTTATAACTGTACAGTGGCAGCTCTTCAAGCTTAGGTTTCTCAAAACTGTCCCTGAGCATCATTTCTATTTTGCATGCTTCCGCTGGATCAATCAATGACTGCTCATCTTCTTCCTTGTTCCCTGATTTGTGAACCAAGGATTGAAGTAAGTTTAGGCTTAATGAAATAGGACAGTCATTTTTTGTCAAATTTAGCTTACTACCTCTGTGCTTAATCAACCAATTCCACAATAAGAATGATGATGCTGCAAGAAGCAAACATCCCACTATAACTGCAGTTCCAATAATGATTTTCTTCTGTTTCCTCTTATCATGATCTGCATTTTTAGAGGGGTCCAAACAGTTAAAGAGACATCGTGAGAAGTAAAATAGACATTCCATAGAAAAAAGTTGATGAGATGTTTTGTGACCTAAATCAGATAATCATAACCAATCAACAAAAGACTATAATTGTGTGAAATCGTGAAAAGATTTACTGCACTTTCATTCAACCTGAATAATATAGTGTAAGTTGTTACCGAGTTCAGAATACGCTACGCGTATAA